CGGCCAGCCACACACAAACATACAATTACACTCCGCCAACTCCACTCATACATATCATAATCAGCCAACCAAAACAATCACACTCGGCCAGCCACACACAAACATACAATCACACTCCGCCAACTCCACTCATACATATCATAATCAGCCAACCAAAACAATCACACTCGGCCAGTCACACACAAACATACAATTACACTCCGCCAACTCCACTCATACATATCATAATCAGCCAACCAAAACAATCACACTCGGCCAGCCACACACAAACATACAATTACACTCCGCCAGCTCCACTCATACATATCATAATCAGCCAACCAACACAATCACACTCGGCCAGTCACACACAAACATACAATTACACTCTGCCAGCTCCACTCATACATATGATACTCAGCCAACCAACACAATCACACTCAGCCACCACAAGGAGGCAAAGAGTGGCGATGAGGGGGGCCCTTCTTTGATTCTTGTACTGTGACCCTTGGTTCCCAGTTATGCCCCTGTTTGGAGGTTTTAGCCATTTCATCCCCAAGGGGAAAGTAAACTTAAATGTCACATGTTAATCTAGCAAATCAATCACCAGCCTCTGAAATATGAATGCAACAATAGAGGTATCTGGATTCAATTTCTCATCAGTTAACAGGGAAATATTAACAGCTTTAATTGTGAGATTAGTAATGTAGTAGATATGACAGATTAATAGCTGGTATTATTTGGCTATTATGTAAGCAATCCCATTTTTATGCTGTAGAATCTGCTGTCCCCGGGATTTATTTACAAGAATTATCATTTACTACATAAGTATATCATTTTTTATTTTAGCTAAATTTATATTTACACATTATTGCACAAAAAAAGTTCATTTCTTTCATTCTCTTACAAGTGGTGGAATACGGCAGAATATTAGCACAGGATTCTAAGTTATGGGTCCATAATCACAGACACACAAAAAAAAACTTTTGACTATAGAAAACTTATATACACTTTTCAAAATACTTTTAAAATATTTTAATAAGTTGGAACAGGTTTTGAACCTTCCCCCTAAAAATCACTTTGATAAACCTCCCTCTACAGTCTAAGGGATAAGTGGCGTTCAAAGACAAGAAACTAATAACTACAAACAGAACCTACACAAATTTACAATAGAGACAGTCTGATAGTGACCAAGGGAGAAGACAGTCTAGACATTGTAATAGCCATAAAAACATGGTAGATTGAATGGATAGATGTCAGTGCTATTTATTGTTACGGACTCCTATGTCTCTTGCCTTAGACAACTCAATAAACCTGACACACAAAGTATTTTTTGAGTTTGATCAAGCAGTCTGTTCCCAACAAATACGACAGTCATTAAACAAACAAGTCTAATAGATTATAATTAAATGCCTCCCAGCTAAGTGAACTCAGTCACCGAGAAAAAGAGGGACTGGGTTCAAATGAGACTTTGATCTTAAACTGAATGTGAGTTCTGTCATACGGCTGGTTGTCTCATCTGGTTTTGGTCCTGAAGAGACATCTGAGAGACTGGACCAGATAAAGGAGCCGTTTGGAGTGTGATCACGCACTATAAAATAAATGTATTTTCTGCATATGATGTAAGAAACACAAACCTAGAACTTAATTCCACTGATTTGAGAGAGTTAAGTACTAAGTTTAACCTTGACCCAAGTTTATTATAGAAAGAAGTATAACAAAGTTATAAGCAAGTAGTTATAATGAACGCACTGTGATTTTGTAGCTAGAGGTTAAGGTTATAAAGCCTGTTTTAGAGTAGAAGAATGATTGTCCCCAATAATTTCCTAAAATTGTTTTCCAAACCTTTAAATCAGGTTTGCCCAAAAGGTAGAGCCCCTCTCCCCCCCCAAGATGTGTAAAAACTACAGCTTCCACAATGCATTTTCATTCTAAAGGCTTACAAAGCATTATGGGACTTGTAGTTCTACATCTAGGAATCTACCTGTTGGTAAACCCTGCTCTTAATAGTGCTAGGTTTTATGACCTCACTTTGGTGTAAGTGAACACAGTAGATTTTAATTAATTTGTAAAGGGTTTGATACGTGGTTATTCAATATGTATGAATTGCGTTTCCTTTGGGGATATATTGTATTATTGCTCTTACAATAATGTCTATAACAATACACATCATGATTTGCACTTGGATGTACTATACAGTATATATATATGGAAGAGCCAACAAAATGTCAGGAATTTGTACCTAATTTTAATTTTAGGACGAAATGAAAAAAAAAGTCTGTTTTCATTTTGGATAATTGTCCTGAACTTCGAAATTCACTTTCATTTCCTCACAATTCACGATTTAGTGAATAGCTCCATTAGTTACATTGTTATATTGCATTCTGTCAGAGTAACAACTGGTAGTGGGTGTGTCCGCCATGTTTCATTGCTCATTGCCTCCACATGGTGCATCAAAACTTGTTTTGAGCAGAGAGTCTATTCAAATAATCGGGAACATAACCAAGTCACTGCTAGCTGTTTTGGGGTTGTTTTTTTCTCAGAAAATCAGCCAAATGTAATCATACTGCATCTATTTCTGACCTTAACTTAATACTTTTGGGTTAGCTTTTTAAATAATCACTATCTGGAACAAAAACATTTCTAATGATTTTATCTACAAAAAATTCTCATGGACTTTATTGGCAACTTCTGTAGATATAATAATTTGAAACTTTTTTCCCTAAAAGATTGTGATCACCGAGCGACAGCTGAATGTGGCTAGGGCGCTAGTCCATGCCGCTATCATTTCTCACCTTGTCTACTGCAATCTATTTCTTAGTGGTCTAACGTGATCCCAGCTGGCCCCAATACAGTCTATAAAGAATGCGGTGGTGAGGCTCATCTTCCTGTCCCGCGCACCTCCCACTTCTCCCTCTTCTGTCAGTCCCTACACTTGGTTCCTGTAAGCTAAAAGGCTCAATTTAAAATCCTGGTACTTGCTTACAAATCTCTATATAATGCAGCTACCTATCCTTACTAATATACAAGCATGTCCCCCGTTCAAGCAACAACCAGAATTTTATATTGAACCCTATATCTTAAGGGAAGCCAATGCAAGGACTGATAGAGGGGGAAGGCATTGGAGCTACGGGCGGACAGGAAGATGAGCCTCGCCGCCATATTCATTATAGACTGTAATGGGGCATGCTGGGAGCATGTAAGACCACTGAGAAGTGGATTGCAGTAGTCAAGGCAAGAGAAGATAGCGGCATAGACCAGCACCTTAGAAGAATCTGGCATTAAGTAGGGGCGAATGCGTGCTATGTTTTTGAGATGGAAGCGGCAGGATTTGGGGTCGGAGTCAAAGAGAACACCTAGACAGTGAGCCTGCAAGGTGGAACTGATGGTAGCGCCGTTAACGTGGAGGGAGACAGAAACAAGAGTAGCCACACTTGAGGGAGGCAAGACCAGAAGTTCTGTTTTGGACAGGTTGAGTTTAAGGAAGTAAGCAGCCATCCAGTTAGAAATAGCAGAGAGGCAGTCAGAGACACTAGTCAAGAGGGGTGGTGAGAGATCAGGAGAGGACATATGGATTTGCCTGTTGGCATAGAAATGATACTGGAAGCCAAAGTAGCTGATGAGTTTACCAAGGGAGGCAGTACAGGTCAAGAAAATTAGGGGACCAAGGACTGAGCCTTGGGGACCACCAACAGAGAGGGGTTGGGGAGAAGAGGCACAGCCAGAGAAAGAAACACTGAAAGAGTGCTAGGAGAGGTAGGAGCAGCACCAGGAGAGAGCAATATCTCATTGACTGAGATTACAGAGGATGAGAAGAAGCTGTTGATGGTCAACAGTATTAAAAGCAGCAGAAAACAAGGAGAATTAGGATAAAATAGTCACTGCAAGATTTTGCAGCAATAAGATAATTGGAAACATTGGTCAGAGCTGTTTCCACAGAGTGGTGAGCGCAGAAACCAGACTGAAGAAGGTCGAGCAGTGAGTTGAATTTGAGAAAGTATGTCAATCTCTCATACATGACTCTCTCAAGGATCTTCGACACAAAAGGGATTGGCGGGATAGGGCGGTAGTTGGATGGGGAGTTAGGGTCAAGGTTGGGCTTTTTCAGAATTAGAGTTACAGTTGCATGTTTAAAGGTCAATGGAAATATGCCAGAGAAGAGATTGAAAGTTTTAGTAAGAGGCAGAGCAAGAGAAGGAGACAGAGTGTGGATGAGATGTGATGGAATAGGATCAAGGGAACAGGTGGTGGGGCGGAAGGACCGGAGAAGAGCAGAAACCTCTTCTGTTGTAGCTGGTGCAAATGAACATAGAACAGTAGGGGGAATGGGGCTGGGGTAAGTATTGGTAGGATAAGGAGATAGATAAGAGATCTCTTCCCTAATTGTAGAATATTCACAGTGAAATTAGTTGCGCAGTTTGTGGAGGTCAAGTTGGTAGGAGATGTAACAGGGCGAAGAAGAGAGTTCACAGTGTGATATAGGCATTTTGGTTCACTGGAGAATGTGGTTATCAGGGTATTGAAATTATTGACTTTTGCAGAGGAAAGAGCCAAGCTGTAGGAGTGAAGATTAAATTTATAGTGGAGCAATTCAGACAGAGAATGAGACTTTCTCCAGCAACGTTCAGCAGTTCTGGAACATTTTTGGAGGTATCGGGTCAGCTTGGTGTGCCAGGGTTGTAGTTGGGTGCATTTGCTGCGTTTAAGTGTAGGAGGTGCCTTACTTTTTTTACGTACATGAAATACATCCTACCCTTACACCTCTTACTACTTTACCCCACTCCCTCTAGAAGCGTTTGTGCAGGGCCCTCAACACCCTATGTGTCCAACTCGTTTTGTTGCAAATACTTGTCTGTTATTCCAAGGACAGTACAGTGCTATGGAATTTGTTAGCACTTTATAAATAATAATAATTTAAAAAGACTTTCCAAAATAATTAAATTGAGGTCATTGTGTGTAATTGCAAGGATTAATCCTTACACTTTGGCCACCAAAAATTCATATTGAGGTCCATATTTTCAGGCATATAAGAGTGTGATCATTGTATTACAATCACTCGATTAATGCAATAAAACAGCAAATAAAATTGTACTGAAATGTTTATTTGCAAACAAAATTGCATACACCCAGTTAGAAGTAATTTATATACAATTTAAATAGTTATGAAGTACACGTTTTGATTAAATGTGCACATTGTGATTACATATTAATGCAGTATTTGCATTTATAATCATAACACACCATATTTTGATTTAAGAGTTCTATATAAGCTATATCCTGACCATGCCTCTTGCTGATCTCACACGTGGCGTAGATATCATTAATAGGACATGCATACTACACATCATATCTTCTTGGACTGCATCTCATTACATTGGGATCAGAATAATTGTAGTGCAACAAGGGCCATGTGCCTATATGATGGCCCTTTGTATAAAGCCCAGGAATATCAAACCAATGACTAGTTACCGAAAAACGGTGTATTGCAAACCAGAACAATATTTTCATTTGGTTATGAGCATGATCTATAATTCAACAACAATTTCATTTATGGCTTTGATAAAATATTACTCAGTTAACTAGACAATGCTAGAGTAGTTCTTGCATATTATGATTAAAAACATAAGTCCGGGGGGCGGAGCTTGACCACCAACCTGAACAGACACCGTGCTTGCAAGCTCCTCCGAGACAATCAAATAATCATCAACAGAGGCGGCTCTAGACTTTATGAGGCCTTAGGCGAAACTCAAACATGAGGCCCCACTAACAAAAAAGTGAAAAAAAATTACATGCACACTACACTACACAATACATGCACACTACACATTGATGCACAGTTTACCTGTGTATGTGCCTGAGAGTGTGTCTGACAGAGTATCCTTGTGTGTGTGTGAATGTATGTCTCTGTGAGCAAGGGGGTGATGAGAGTGAGGGAGAGGGGGGTGATGAGAGGGTGATGGGGGGGCTGATGGTGAGGGAGGGGGGATGGGGATTGATGGTGAGGGGAGGGGCTGATGCAGAGGGAGGGCTGGATGGTAAGGGACTTGATGGTGAGGGGGGGTTGATGTGAGGGGGGACTGCATACCTTAATTTCCCTGATGGTTCGGTGGCCACAGAGCTGCAGACCATGTGATCTCGCCAGAGGTCAGAGCATTGCCGTGGTAACCCAGCCAGTAACCCAGCCAGCATGAGGCCTTAGGCGGCCGCCTAAACCACCTAATTAGAGAGCAGCCTCTGATCATCAAGTATCCCAAAATTGAACGCCCATCCAGCCTTCTAACGCTGCCAGCTGGACTCCATAACACCTCCGGAGGCGAAAAACTAGGGAGGCCTGGAGGCACTCTTTGCACCAAGTGCAGAGTGGGAGACGACTCTTCCCCTACAACACCTGTCATACCAGCCCACATGCCAGCTATGGGCCGCCGCTCACAGGAACCTACTGTGGCAGAAAGCAGGGACATCGGAGCAATGCTACAGAGGCCCACACAGCCCAAACCCGCTCCCGTGGAAACATAGAAACATAGAATGTGACGGCAGATAAGAACCATTCGGTCCATCTAGTCTGCCCAATTTTCTAAAAACTTTCATTAGTCCCTAGCCTTATCTTATAGTTAGGATAGCCTTATGCCTATCCCATGCATGCTTAAACTCCTTTACTGTGTTAACCTCTACCACTTCAGCTGGAAGGCTATTCCATGCATCCACTACCCTCTCAGTAAAGTAATACTTTCTGATATTATTTTTAAACCTTTGTCCCTCTAATTTAAGACTATGTCCTCTTGTTGTGGTAGTTTTTCTTCTTTTAAATATAGTCTCCTCCTTTACTGTGTTGATTCCCTTTATATATTTAAATGTTTCTGTCATATCCCCCCTGTCTCGTCTTTCCTCCAAGCTATACATGTTAAGATCCTTTAACCTTTCCTGGTAAGTTTTATCCCGCAATCCATGAACCAGTTTAGTAGCCCTTCTCTGAACCCTCTCTAAGGTATCAATATCCTTCTGAAGATATGGTCTCCAGTACTGTGTACAATACTCCAAGTGAGGTCTCACCAGTGTTCTGTATAATAGAAGCCCCACGCTCCATTACTTACACTCACCCATACGAGCAAATGGGACCTGAGAACCCAAGTGACACAGAACCACTGCCACCAGAAGCCCCCACTGACTCAACGCCAAAGACCAGACATGACCAGAAGGTATTATGGACGGATTTCCACAAGGAACTGGCACCTATCAAAACTGACATTAAAAAAAGCCATCACAGAGCAAAGTGCAGGCCTCTGAAAAGTATATAACAGACACATTTGTCCGAGATCCAGGACTCGGTACAGCAAGCCTGGTCCCACCAGACAGCCATGTCTGCTCAGATGACAGCTAAGGAAGAACAATAAAATGAAAATCCAGCCCACTTCCTTGTCTACTAAACAGCAACTTTGGTGCTGACAGATTGTTAGTTTTTTTTTTAAACCACCTAATCTAGGCAAAAAATGATGTGGGTTTAGTTACATTATATGATCCTACATTGCATAAGCCTGCCACAACGTTAATGTACCCCATCTTTGGCAGGTCCTACTCTAACAGCCAAATGTCTGCTAAATGAGCTACATACTTGGGGGGGAAAAACAAAAACAAATTTTTCCCTAGATTAGGTGCTTTTAAAAAAACTAATAAAATCTGTCAGCACCAAAGTTGCCGTTTAGTAGATAAGGGAGTGCGCTGGATTTTCATTGTACTTATTGGCTCCCAGCAGCACCCTATTAATGCATGTTTTGGTGAGTGCAGCCAGCCCCTTGTTTATTATATATTTATATTTAGGAGTCTAGCCACCTCCTAGGTTTTGCACTATTCAGCCTTGTACTGCAGAGAACTCGAGATGGAATTCCCCCCCCCCAAGTAAGTAGCTCATTTGGCTGTTAGAGTAGGACCTGCCAAAGACAGGGTATATTGACATTGTGGCAGGCTTATCCAGTGAATGATCATATAATGTAACTAAACTTCCATTATTTTTTTTGCCTAGCTTAGGTGTTTAAAAAAAAAAAATAATAATTCTGTCAGCACCAAAAGTTTCATTTTTACTTATTGGCTCCCAGCAGCACCCTGTTTATGCATGTTTTGGTGGTGCAGCCAGCACCTTGTTTTCTCAGACAGCTATGGAAGAACATCGCACTAATATAAAAATACACTACATCAGGTACTTATTGGCCTCCATCCTGTCTCACACTGTAGCAAAGAAAACTATCAAAGGGATATATCGCCTACCTGGACCCACCAAAGCGCCGACCAATGTGGCAAACTCTCATGCCTAATTCAGATCACATAGGCACTCAAAGACAAAACACCTTTAGCCTTCGGGGAGGCTTCCCTAATGTTCTACCAGGATTTAATGAAAGCAACCCTCCTCTGGTGCAAATCCTTTCACCTGGTGACAAGTTCGCTCAGCAGATATAAGCTACAGGTGGGGGACGAACAGACCCCTGGTAGTGACCAGAAATGGAATCCCACATACGCTCACCTTGATGGAAGAAATAGCCAACATTTCTGGAAGCATTGGGTCTGGCACCCATGACAGCCAACACCAGCCAACCCCCTCCCCCCAGCCCCCCCCCCAGGACCCTCCACTGCAACTTGGGACCCAGAACACACAGTCCCCTTTGTCCCGAGGTCCAGGAGCACCCAAGCAGCAAGAATACACGCTAGGACTGATTCGACATAGGGTCCAGAATCCCTGTCAGAAGCCTATTCTCCATGCAGATGTTTGCCTGCATGGAGAACCATTTAATTAATAGTTTATTTTCTTTTTTTTTTTTTTTTTTGCTCTCCTAATATGGAAATATTGTAAGAAACAACATTAGCAACACGGCTCAAAATCAAACAGTCCCAGCTTGGGGTTACCCACACGGAACTAACACAGCCAAAGCTGGAACAGATAATTCCACCACACATAAACAAGGGCAACGTAGGCGTCCTCTCCTCCCCCCTCCCCCTATTCCCTTGGTCAAGAATTAACCGCACTCAAAGAATAGAACTAGAATAGCTGCACTAACGACTAACTTCATTCAATCCGCTTAAACACATACATACACATAAACATCAAACATACGGGCTTACAATCTTCTATGCAATCACCGCATCCTCACCTCACACTACCACGCACACACACATGCAGAGTCTCCAGATACGGCATAGTGAGACATCGGCAACTAGGAGCAATGTAGGAGCACTACACACTCGAACACACTACACAAGTTGTGTAACCTACAACTGCACCTAGGCATACGCTAGCCTGTTATATACATAAAAAATGGTGCAAAGTACCAATGTCATTCATCCTATACTTGTTCATTTTATTATCCAACTACTGTTTAGTAATGTATGGCTTATGCACTGCACTGAAAAAATAAAGAATATTAAAAAAAATATATATATAATATATATATATGATAAGTCCAAGTACCTTTTGTTCTGAGGAAAAACAATCAAAATGAATGTGACAAAGGTTTACTCATTCGACTAAGAAATGTGGAGAATTGACAAATTGAGTTCATGTTTTATTCCAAAACAGCAGAGCCCCCAAAAAATAGACAGTTGGAGAAAAATTTCCATCCAGTTATTCGACCTAAAAATTTAAATTGCAATTGTTTCATTTCATGTATACATAGGTGTAAAAGTAATGCTATCAACAAGGAAAATTAAACAAAGCTGTAGAATGTTTTGTAATATTTAGCAATCTGTTAATTATACATTTAAATAGCTTTGTTTGTATTTGTTAGCTCAACATTCCATAGTCTTATCAGACAGCAGCAAGTATAAATAAAGAAACAGATACTACTCTGTATCATATGAGACAGAGAGAGTGTGGGGGGTGTTTTTCCCTCTTGGATGTATACCACTCAGCGCATGTGACTAGCAGGGACTTCAGCCCATATATAAAATGGAAGCCATCACAGCATTATGTAAAAAGCAGTTTCTAATCCCATGAAGTGCCAGCACTGGCCACACTCAAAAGACTCCATGAAGTCTTTTTTATTGTTGTTAATATTACCACCATATTTCCTATGAAATATTTTTTTATTCAGACATTTTACTCATCCTAGAGAGCATCCTCCATTGTAAAACTACATGCATATAAATCAGAAAGCTTAATTGTGCGCATTGTGCGTGTTTCTGCAAATACCAGTGGTCTGCCATCAGGCCAAAATACTTCAGATTTCTGAATTTATATTTTTTCCTTCATTCGTAAACACGTGAAATTTGGACACTGCGCTGGCTATGGGTACAAGCTCTGGTCACAGTAAATAGACCATATTACCTGACTGCAGGTATACGCAAGGTTTTCTATGTACCGTCACCAAAAATATTCATACAAGCATCCAAATATATGTTTAGCAACCACACAATACTCGCAAAGGCCTTGCTGATATTTCCATTGCCAAAAGACTTCCATGCCTTTTAGCCGTGGAGCACAAACAGCAAGGAATTATGAAGATCATGTAACGCAGAGTTCAGACGCCCAGGGTGGGGGCTTGCTGGTGTAAGGGATCTTGGGCAGAGTGCAGGAACTGCTAGCGGCTCCAGAAACAGGATGGTGGTCTTCATCGCCTGCCTCATCAGGTGATTGTTGGAAAGAGACTTCTACATCGTATGGATTTTCCAACATTTTCAATACCCGCTGTACCTAGAAAACATGCATACGGCACATAAATGTTTTATATCAAGGGACTTCACATATCATGATGGGACTGTTGTGATGCCATACATCTGATTGCCATTAAAATCTCTCTATAGTACTTATTAAATAAGGAAAAGATTAGCTAATATTAAAAGTAATAAGAGTTACTGCTTAAAAGAAACACTAACTGTAAAAATAAATACATTATTTTTAACGTTACAGGTGCTCCTTGCTGTCTCTGTGTGTCAATGACTGCACTACGCCAATCCAATGATTCTTTACAAGCCGTGTTTACAGTTTCAGGTCTCAAGACCTTTGAGAATCTAGAAGTTCTTCTTTTTAATTAAGGACAGCTTACAGATAGATAAACTCTGCAGGATAGGATTGGTTGAGTCACTTTCTAGCTTGTTGTAGAACCTCTTAAGTGTCAAGACTAATTGTATTGTATATATTTTTAATGTATTATATAATGCACAAAAAAACTGTCAGTTCTAATGTCCCATTAACTCTCCGAAGTGTAGAACTATTTAGTTTTAGTTTCTGCCACCAGCAAACCTAACTCAAAGTAAAAAACAGAAAACCAGATGAACCAGCATACCTGGTGCTGGAATTTAATAAATATAGTTCAGAGATGTTTTGGAAACAAACATTATAAAGGCTCTCTTCATGAGATTAACTTGTTAGAAAACAGGGAATTATCCTTATGTTCTATAGTATTAAATTTCATGGCATTTTTTACTATATTATCTCAAACAAACGTACAGATAAAAAGCTTTAAACATAGAAACAGCTATGCATTTCTTAGGATTACATTTTTTGCAAGATACTATATATTAAGATAATGGTTACCAGGCAACGATGTGCAGAAATGTCTGCAATTTATTAAATAAAAAGTAATGTTAGGAACACAACATTTGTATCCCTAACATCTGTAGTGGCCGCCAGAATGACATTGCAGTGTAATCTCTTTGTCCCACAACCACAACTAAATGCAACACCAACAAAGAGAAACTTGCGGATGAAGTTATGGGGAAAACTAGATGTGGTAATAATAATACATGTATAGTAGCTCAGTGTTTAGAATTAGATCTCAGAATGAAACCAAGAAATCCACAGATCAGAGAGAATGGATTCTGGATAAGAACACAATTAAAAGCTTATAAATGAGCCATCTCAAACTCTGGCCCCCAAAACATGGCTGAATTTAAAAACTACCATGATTCTCTGACCATCTAAAAACATTGGGAGTTGTAGGTTTGCTTACAAATATCTACATATTAATGTTGAGATTTCTGTTATAAATAGTGGAGTTGGGTGATTTTTCTAATTTGGTTACTGGGGACATTTGACAACATTTTTAAGATGGAATGCTGTCAATGTGATTATAAAAAAGGTCACTAAGCAGGGATTACCAAAAATAAAATGGGAAGAAAAAAAAACAAATAATTTGCTGAAAATTTATTTTTGCAGCAACAGGATAAGGACACTCAGGATTGTCTGGATGAGTTAGAAGGCTTCAGACAAGATATCAGAAGCTTTTGATAGATATACCAGAATGAAATATGCATGATTAAATGAGGGCAGCAGGGTGACTCTCTAAATAATTTTAACGACATTTTTTAAACTGCATCACTGCTGTACATGTACCATGATGAGGTGAGTTGGGCTAGATTCAGAGTGTGTATTAGCTCAGATATAGTTACGATCTTTGACTTTGTAATATAGGGCTTGTTTGCCTTAAGACTGCTATTTTAACAGTTAGCAGATCAATGGAATGTCACAATTCAATATAGATTAAACCAGCACGCTGTGGACATGGGTCACCAGTATAGCTGTACTATGTACCTCGCTGAAATCTCCCTTCTCAGCTGCATCAATTGCGTTTTGAGCAATATAATTTCTGAGCACAAATGCCGGATTATTGGAGTCCATGATTTTCACACGTTCAGCCACAAATGTATCATTATCCCCAGTAGTTGCTTGGTCTTTTGACAACCGAGTGCTAAAAAAAATACAAGAAGCAGATTTAATTTAGCTTAATGCACATAGGTCCTCAAGCTTCTAGAGTTCTATTCAGGACATGGGTTAAATCTACAGATTCATAAAATATATAACTAAATCAGCAAAAAAAACAAAAAAACAAAAATAAAAAACCAAACACCAAATGGAGAAGGAAAAAAAAATGTTTCCAATTTTCACTGCCAGTAAGGTTGTAATTGGGGATTGTAGAGGCTATTGACTGCTAGAGGTATTGAGTGAAATGGTAAATACCATGGACTTGAAATAAAAAGAAAGTTGCACTCTCCCACCACTGAATAATTCAACCAGTGCAGATTAGAGTGTAGCAGTTCACATACCTGTACTTACGAAGCCATTCTCCCCAGAGTGCACGGTTATTACTCAGTAGCTGGTCTTCACTGGACTCTTGCAGTTTATTGTAGCGTTCAATACGATCAAGCTCCTTACTTATGTTGGCTTTTGTTCCAATCAAAGCAAATAACTGAGGGTTACTCTGCGCCAACATCAGCATCACTGACAGTTGTCTGGACAAGACACAGGCACAGATGAGTCAATATAGGTTTGTTTTGGGATTTTTATCATAAACTTCATATGTTTACAAAGTTCCAAAAAAAAAAAAAAAAAACCTGATGGATTGTTGGGTAGTAACCACTTAGTCTTATTGCTTCAACTTCCAATCACAAAACTGACCTAAAGCATTGCATTATTAAAACAAGGTTATCCGTCTCTGAAAGATTATTGTGCAAAAAAAAACAAGAAACTGGCAAATTATACCAGCTCCTACAATACAAGAAACACGACAAATACGGGAACTTTAAAAAAAAGGGGGGGTTTCTTTTAATAATTACCCATAAAATGTATAAAAAAAAGGAGACACTTCAAGTCTAGACTGTATTCTTAATTGAAACTCATGATATTATTCCCGTCCGATATAACATACCTTGGATCCATTTTGGGTTTGAACACAACCTTTAACTCGTCCAAGGAAGCGCACTGCTCAGTTAGAATATCTAGAAAATCCTCTGCGTTGACGGAATTCCCAGCATACTTGCTGAGCACTCGGAAAGTATTTGTAAAATCTGCTCCTAAAGAGTTCAAAGACGAATCATTTATCATTTAGAATGTCGAATGTTAATTTTTGTTTATAAAATGATGATTTTCCAAAGACAGGTTTGGAGTTAAAAATTTTTCCCATAAAATAAGCATACCTACAATACATTTTAAGATCACTTCCCCTTTAATGATTAACAAAATAACTGATTAATTACCTGATTTCTGTAAATACCTGTAAACAACATATGAGGCACTTATTCCCAAAATGAAGAGTTTTGGAGCAGCCAACGGTATTGCAAATTGTAGACCACAATATTTAGCTGGTGAACAGTTCCAAGGTTATTTAATATATCTAGTATATTTATGCCATCCATTTTTTAAAAGCAGAAAAAGTTGCAGATCAGAATTACCTGTTTTGTTCATGGTTTCCAACAGGTCTGAGATAAGACTGCTGTCCTCCTCGAGCTCTGCTTGAATCAGGCCAAGCTTCTTTCGCATCTTCTGCATGTACCACCTCTGGAACTCGGAATCATACTCCTCATCAATTATACTTTGACTGATTTCTACCGGGAGCTCTGGTACCAGTGACTCAGCGAGCTTTCCTAAGTTCCACTTACAGATTTCTGGTTGCTTGTTGTAGGCATAACGACCCATGTTATCAGACCCATTGCAAATGTGATCTGGATCATACCTAAAACACAAAGTGGAATATAGAAGAAAAAGTCAACTCTGTTACTTTACATCATCAGGATTTCTAACATAACTGCATATTTCCAGAATTTATCTGCCTACTCTCGTTACAGCTCTGGCACTTCCCTGCATTGGCCAATGGCGGGAAAGAAAAATTAATAAAAAAGAGGAACTGTTACATCTGAGTTACTGACAGTCTGTACACTTACCCCCTTGAATACGCTGTGCGATTTTGGGCACCTGTTATAAAGAAGGAAATTATGGCAATAGAAATAGTGCAGAGTCGGGCTACAAAATTGATAAAAGGAATGGAACATTTTAGTTATTAAGAGAGGGTAACAAATTAGATCTCTCTAGATGGGAAAAGCAGCACCTCAGAGGGGATATGATAGCATTATACAAACATATTCAGGGCCAATACAAACCATTGTCTGGATTTCTATTCATAAACAAGGCTATACATAGGATAACATCACACATTTAGAATGGAAGAAAGGAAATTTAATCTAAGGAAAAGGTGTTTCTACAGTAAGAATTATAAAGAAGTCGAATTCTCTGTTTAAACAGCAATTGGATAAATTCTTGCAGAAACATAATATTTTCATAGTTTGTTGCAAAATTGGAAGCGCTTCAAAGTAGGGTTTGTTTGTTTTTTGCGAAAACAAATGTGAGAAAGGCTGAACTTGATGGACTCCTGTCTCTTTTCAGCTTATGTAACTAGGTTATGCAAACTTGAACAATGGTGACAATATCTCTTAATACACCCGTTGGGTTTTATACATTTTATAAAAAGGTAGGAAACTAGTACTAGTTTGATAAATTAATGTACGTTATTTGTGCATTTATTTAAGGTTACATTTCACAAAATGTAACCTACACACACAAACATATATCATACCAAAAGAGTTGTGGTGGGGAAAAAAGTGTGGATGAAAACCCCTTCCACCTTAAGTAAGTGGATAGCTAATACATTGCTAAACACAAATACACACACCAGTCAAGCCATAAGACTTCCTTTTCCACAGAAATCTCACTTTAACAGTGCTCTCACTATTATTATTATTATTATCAGCATCATCATCATTTATATAGCGCCAACAGATTCCGTAGTGCTTTACAATATTTTGAGAGGGGGGATGTAACAATAAATAGGACAATTACAAGAAAACTTACAGGAACAATAGGTTGAAGAGGACCATGCTCAAACTTACAGACTATAGGAGGTGGGGTATTAGAAACATTAGGACAAGAAATATCAAGTAGGAGTGAAGCAGAGCTGGAGGAGAGAGCAGGAGACAGGTATGTAAGGTAGAGATTACTCTGGGAGGCCATACGCTTTCCTGAAGATGGGTTTTAAGGCCCTTCTTAAATGATTGAAGACTAGGGGAGAGTCTGATGGCAGTAGGCAAGCTATTCCATAGGAGAGGAGCCACCCGCGAGAGGTCCTGCAAGCGCGAGTTGGCCGTACGGGTGCGAGCAGCGGTCAGGAGGTGGTCACGGGCAGAGCGGAGGGTACGAGGAGGGGCATATCTATGGATTAGTGAAGAGATATAAGTGGGGCTAGAATTGTTCAGTGCTTTAAATGTGTGGGTTAGCACTTTGAATTGACTCCTATAGCATACAGGGAGCCAATGTAAGGACTGGCAGAGGGGTGAGGTGTGAGAGGACCGACTAGAGAGGAAGATCAGTCTAGCTGCAGCATTCATGACAGACTGTAGCGGGGCAATACGGCTTTTGGGGAGACCAATCAGGAGAGGGTTACAGTAATCCATGCGGGAAATTACTAGAGCATGGACAAGCTCCTTGGTAGCATCTTGCGTAAGAAAGGGGCGAATGCGGGCTATGTTTTTGAGTTGGAACCTACAGGACTTGGCAACAAACTGGATGTGAGGCTCAAAGGTGAGACCAGAGTCAAGTATGACGCCAAGACAGCGCGCTTGCAGGGATGGACTTATGTGGATATCACTGAGTTGAAGGGAGAGCGAGAGAGGAGGATCAGTATAAGGAGGAGGAAAGACAAGGAGTTCAGTTTTAGAGAAGTTAAGTTTCAGAAAGCGTGAGGACATCCAGTCAGAGATGCACTACTGCAAAGGATTCTGAGTAGACGTATGCAAATGAATCCATGTATACAGTGGAATTGAGGCAAAAATGTGGTTCTTTGTTGAGCTCATTTGCATACGCCTACCCAGAATCCCTTGCAGTAGTGAGAGCACTGTAAAGTGAGATTTCTGTGGGAAAAGCAAGTCTCAAGCCTTAAGGCTTGAATGGTGTGTGTATTTTTTGTTTAGCAATGTATTAACTATATATTTATAAAGAGCAAAAAGTCAGTATGTTTAAAATAGACAAAGTCAGTGTGTTTAAAATAAACACAAAGTTTCTGGAAATGTTTTTTTTAAATTAAAGGGACACTATAATCGCCAAATCAACTTTAGCTTAAAGAAGCAGTTTTGGTGCATAGATCATGCCTCTGCAGTCTCACTGCTCAATTCTCTACCATTTAAGAGTTAAATCACCTTGATCATACAACTCTAGCATGTGAGTTGCACAATCTTCCTAAACAAGAGAAATCTAAAGTTTAAACTTCCTTTATAGCACATTCTGTTTAATTTAGACTTTTTTTTATCTTTTGTTTTATTAATAGTCTATTAGACACTTCAGGAGCCTCCAGCGTGTGATTAAAGTTCAATTTACAGCGCAGGAGATAAAAACTACTAAAGCAAGTAACAGCTGGTTGAAAATGAAACCCTTTTTTAATGCAGGCTGTGAGTCACAGGGGAGGGGAGGCTAGGGTTGCATAAACAGAAACAAAGGTGCTCTAAGTCCTAAATGGCAGAGAACTGAGCAGTGAGACTGCAGGGGCATGATCTATACACTAAAACTGCATTTAAGCTAAAGTTGTTTTGATGCCTATAGTGACCCTTTAAAGGGCCAATAAGGTTATACCACTTCCTCTCAGTGAAGTATTCTTGGTGAAGTGGCCCAGGTTCAATGGTCCTTTATATTTTACCTAGCAATGTAAAACATAAGTTTTGTAGAAACCGCAATGTTTCTTTTGAAGGGTGAAACACTCCTCTAGCAGCTGTTATACTGACATCCACTAGAGGTGCTTCCATGTGAGATCTGAGTCAAGGATGGCTCACAATCAAATACTACTCCTAGAACGCATACATAGCTAAGGGCATACATGTGGAATACATGTTTGTATTCCTAATCTTACAATGTTACTTTAACCTCTATGGCATAGATTTAGAAAATTGTACTTTTTGCGGGGATCACAAATGCAAGCTTCTGCATTTATTCAAAATCAAATGTAATATGATATTTTAACAAAAGCCGATTTCACACAATTTACAAACTAAGACATAGTTTAGAAGGTTTGCCAATGCAATACTGACCTGTCCATGAATCCATATGGACCATAATCAATAGTAATCCCAACAATGCTCATGTTATCAGTATTTAACACGCCATGGCAAAATCCAACACACTGCCACTCTGCAACAAGCCTGGCAGTCCTCCTGGTTATCTGATAGAACAGAAAGAAAAAGCCATGAATAAGATTGTTTGATACAAATTCTAGAAACAAAAATAAAGTATTGAAAGATCGGCAAAGATTAAACTGCTGATTAAAATGGCTCTGTCACATTCTGGGGGGTTTGCACATTTTGCAAAGACGCCCAATGACGACATTGCCTCTTAGTGTGCAGTGGTCCAGGGATTCGGTGCACAAAGATATACTTACCCAAAGCTATCCCTCGTAGCCCCTGTCATTCCATCGACTACATCTGCAAACTGTGTCTAAACTAGTTCATGGATTGCAGGATAAAACTTACCAGTAAAGGTGACCAGACGGTTTTTCAATTTTCCTACCGTTAAGGACAAGGGCTGTTTTTATATTTCTGCGGTGTTTGAGTTTAACTGTTTTTCTAGCCATTAAATGGTCTTTCTAAAGAAACCATTATTTTCATCATATCATGTAATTTACTATAAAAAAATATAAAAAAAAAAAAAACACCTTTTCTAACTTTGACCCCCAAAATCTGTTACACATCTACAACCGCCAAAAAACACCTCGTGCTAAATAATTGCTAAATTTTGTCTTGAGTTTAGAAATACCCAATGTTAATGTGTTCTTAGCTTTTCTTTTTGCAAATTATAGGGCTATAAGTACAAGTAGAACATTGCTGTTTCAAAGTATATATTTTTAAAAATTTATCAATAGTGACATTGTAACACTTATCTGTCATAAATCTCTGAATCACACCTCACATGTACATTTTTTTTTTATAGTAGACAACCCAGGGTATTCAATATGGGGTATGTCCAGTCTTTTTTAGTAGCCACTTAATCACAAACACTGGCCAAAGTTAGCATTTATATTTGTTTGTGTGTTAAAAATGCAAAAAAACTATTATGAACGCTACATTTGGCCAGTGTTTGTGACTAAGTGGCTACTAAAAAAGACTGAATATACCTCATTTGCAATACCTTGGGTTGTCTTCTTTTTCCAAATGGTATGCCATTGTGGGGTTAATTTTCATTCCTGGGCTACCATAGGGTCTCAAAAGCAACATAACCAATCTGGCAAATTTCAATGTGAAAAAATGGAAAAAATCTAGCCTTATATTTGATCCTGTAACTTTCAAAAATACTATAAACCTGTACATTGGGGGTACTATTATACTCGGGAGACTTCACTGAACACAAATATTAGAGTTTCAAAACAGTAAAACGTATCACAATAATGATTTTATCATTGAAAGTGCCGTTTGTGTGTGAAAAATGCAAAAAACTGCACTTTCACTGACAATATCATCGCTGTGATATGTTTTACTGTTTTGAAACACTAATATTTGTGTTCAGCGAAGTCTCTCGAGTATAACAGTACTCCCCATGTACAGGTTTTAGGGTGTCATGGAAAGTTACAGGGTTAAATACAGTGCTAGCAAATTAAATTCCCTGGACTTTCGGCCCGGTTGTCAGGCAGGTCCCCCAAATTGCAATCAATAAAATTACTTAATTATGTAAAAATATTATATAAATATGCACATAGAATTTAAAATTATATACATATTTATATATTTGAAGTCTACGTGCATATTTATGAAATTATTTATGTAAATATGTATATGGATATATATTTCGTATTATATTTATTTCTATATACATAGAACGAAATTTTATATATACCAGTGTATTTTGATATAAATATATATTAATACAGTTAGAATAAAATTACATATATTTAAATATTTTTTTAAATTATTTTTACATTTTTTTATTTACTTATTTATATTTTATAATATATATATATATACACACACACACACACACACGTGTGTAATTTAATTATAAGTGTATATAAAAAAATTTATACAAAAATACACTTAGTATGACATACATATATACACACACACATATATATATATATATATATATATATATATACACACACACACACACACATATATACATATACATATATATATACACACACACACACACACACATTTCAGAACGATCACATGGCCCGCAGGTTCCTAATTTGCTATGGGGGGACTGTCTGGTCTATCAGGCAGTCCCCCCAGACCAGGAGCAACACCGATCGCCGGTGGGGGAAGTAGTAAGTACTAAGGAATACCGTGGATTTTGTCGGACGTACCTAGTACGTCCGCGGTCCTTAAGGAGTTAAAGGATCTTAACATGTATAGCTTGGAGGAAATACGAGACAGGGGGGGATATGATAGAAACATTTAAATATATAAAGGGAATCAACACAGTAAAAGGAGGAGACTATATTTAAAAGAAGGAGAACTACCACAACAAGCATAGTGAAATTAGAGTGGCAAAGGTTTACAAATAATATCAGGAAGTATTACTTTACTCAGAGGGTAGTGGGTGCATGGCATAGCCTTCCAGTTGAAGTGGTAGAGGATGACATAGTGAGGGAGTTTAAGCATGCGTGGGATAGGCGTAAGGCTATCCTAGACTTAAGATAAGGCCAGGAAATAATTACATAGTTACATAGCTGAAAAGAGACTTGCATCCATCAAGTTCAGCCTTCCTCACATTTGTTTTTTGCTGTTGATCCAGAAGAAGGCAAAAAATCCAGTTTGAAGCACTTCCAATTTTGCAACAAACTAGGGGAATCCTTCTTGACCCCAGAATGGCACTCAGATTTATCCTTGGATCAAGCAGCTATTACCTAACATTGAAAAATTATATCCTTGAATATTCTGTTTTTGCAAGCATGCATCTAGTAGCTGTTTGAACATCTGTATGGACTCTGATAAAACCACTTCTCCAGGCAGAGAATGCCACATGCTGTTCTTACAGTAAAAAAACCTTTCCTTTGCCTTGGACGAAATCTTCATACTTCCAGTCGAAACGCATGACCGCATGTCCTATGTAAAGTCCGGTTTGTGAACAGATTTCCACACAATGGTTTGTATTGGCCCCGAATATACTTGTATAATGTTATCATATCCCCTCTAAGGCGACGTTTTTCTAAACTAAAAAGGTTTAAATTTGTTAACCTTTCTTCATAGCTGATATGTTCCATTCCTTTTATTAATTTTGTAGCCCCCCTCTGCACTTTTTCTACTGCCATAATATCCTTCTTTAGAACAGGTGCCCAATATTGCACAGCATATTCAATATGTGGTCTTACCAGTGATTTATAAAGAGGCAAAATGATATTCTCATCCCGAGAACGAATCCCCTTTTTCATGCATGACAATACCTTACTGGCCTTAGCCACTGCTGGTTGACATTGCACATTGTTGCATAGTTTGTTGTCTATAACAATTCCCAAGTACTTTTCGTGTGTTGTTATCCCTAAATCGCTTCCTTTAAGGGTATACGTTGCTTGTGTATTCTTTACGCCGAAATGCATAACTTTGCATTTTTCAACATTAGATTTTATCTGCCATTTGAGTGCCCAGTCCCCCAGTCTAAATCCCTCTGCAGCAAAGTAATATCTTGCTCACATGATGAAAGTATTTAGAAAATTGGGCAGACTAAATGGGCCGAGTGGTTCTTGTCTGCCATCACATTCTATGTTTCTATGTTATCTTTTAAATGCTAATTTCATAAAAATCAGAATTGGAATTCATTACATTCATGAACAGTATGGAGTTTTCTTGTTTTTCTTACATAAGGACATTTTATTTAAATTGTACATTACGGAAAGTATTATACTCAGAACAATATAAAAGAGTTTCCCCATTTGCAAATATGTCCTAATAAACATTGCTGACAATCTAGAGTTACCCATTTTATTAGTCTTAAAAGTATGAAGACTAAATTCAACATTTCGAGTTTTAAAACTGCAACTTGGAGGTTTAAGCAGCTTCTACACGTGCACTAAGGCAGCACTCCGCAAACTGTAGAGAATAACTCATATGGAACAGACCAGAATTTCATCAGCAGATTTGCGTGACAGAATCAAACTCTGTTTATGTGCAGCAATACGTGGTGTTTCCGCTGCTATGTCCTGCCATTCCCTAACAGCCTTGATACTCACTCATCTGTTACTGTGCATATCACCTGTGGGGTATTTGATAAAAAAAAAAAAAAAAAAAAATTTGTTACTTTTACCAGCTGTCCCACATATAAATACTCTACCTCTCTGAAGAAAGCAGCATTTCGTTCAATCTTGTGCTCTGCATGTGTATTCTGAATGTCTGGATAGAACGTACTGATAACATAATCAATCATTTGGATGCGAATGTCATTTCTGTTGACGCTAGGACCCCTTCTGCCTGTAAATTCATCAGTTTCCTTGAATATTTCAAAAGAGCCAAATCTGTTGAAAAGAAAAATGCAAATCACTTACTGAGAAACTGAACAAGATGTTCTTTGGTTAAGCAGAAACACTATCGGCACACAGATTTGAGGAACAGCAGTCAAGAATGCCGAGACAAAAAACAAACAAAAAATCCTAACTCTAAATGTTGTACTTGAATCAAAATAATGGTTGCTTAAACTAGAGCAATGCAGCTGCACTTGAGAAAGTTAAAAAGGGACACTATATGTATGCACCAAAATACGTTAGCTAAATTAAGCAGTTTCTGTGTATAGATTATAACTCTGAAGTCTCACTGCTCAATTCTCTGCCATTTAAGAGTTTAATCACTTTGTTTATACAGTCCAAGATACACCTCCCTGTAAGTGGCTTGAACAGCTTTCCAAACACTTCCTGTAAAGTGAAATCTAATGTTTAAACTTATTTTATTGCACAGTCTGTTTGATTTAGAATTATCTCTTGCTCTGTTAAAGGACCACTATAGTGCCAGGAAAACATACTCGTTTTCCTGGCACTATAGTGCCCTGAGGGTGCCCCCACCCGCCTGGCTCTGGAAGGGGAAAAGGGGTAAAAACTTACCTTTTTCCAGCGCTGGGCGGGGAGCTCTCCTCCTCCGATCCTCCTCTTCTCCTCCCCGTTGGCTGAATGCACACGCGCAGCAAGAGCTGCGCACGCATTCAGCCGGTCACATAGGAAAGCATTCATAATGCTTTCCTATGGACGCTGGCGTGCTCTCACTGTGAAAATCACAGTGAGAAGCACGCAAGCGCCTCTAGCGGCTGTCAATGAGACAGCCGCTAGAGGGAATGGGGGAAGGCTTAACCCATTCATAAACATAGCAGTTTCTCTGAAACTGCTATGTTTATAAAATAATGGGTTAACCCTAGCTGGACCAGGCACCCAGACCACTTCATTAAGCTGAAGTGGTCTGGGTGCCTAAAGTGGTCCTTTAATAGCCTTCTAGATCCTGCAGGAGCTACTTTGTGTGACTGAAGTTCAATCAACTTAGCAGGAGAAAAAAAAATGTCTCAGGCAAGTTAACATCTGATTGAAAATGAAACCGGGGGAGGTGTGACTAGGGCTGCATAAACAGAAACATTGGTGATCTAACTCCTAAATAGCAGAGACTTGAGCTGTGAGACTGCAGGGGAATGATCTAATGGACTCATTAACGTCATTAAGCTAAAGTTGTTTTGATGCCCATAGTGTCACTTTAAAGTTTCCTTCTTTTGAGTCCTTGCTAAAACAATAATAGGGATCCCTGTGGGAAATTAGCACACACACTCACTCACTCAAACTACTTCTTTCACAGATTCTGGAGCACAAAACCTATAAATCAGCAAGACTGGGGCACTGTTTGGACTTGTAAATGGGGAATTTAGCCTGGAGTGCCTCTATGAATGGTGTTTTACTCACCCAGCTTGGGCCAATTCAATGTGGTTTAACAAAGAAATGCAAAAGATGAGTGATTTAAAAGGAAAAGCTAAATTACCTAAGAAATGTAGGAGCGATGCGTAAAACTATAGTACAGTTTTCTTCCTTTGGGTTTCCATCATAAAAAATATCTCTGGTGACGGTGGAGTCCGATGTCACACAGGATCCAGCTCGTGTGGTCGGAATCCCCAGGTGATGCACGGCTTCACTGCAGAGGAATTCCCTTATACTCGATCTCAGAACCTTCCTCCCATCAGCTTGCCTGCAAAGAGACAGTCATGGATTCAAAATCAATATTTACTATCCTTACACATTGACAGACAGAGGAGGTAGGGCAGGAGAAGAACAAGCACTTTAGTTGCATTTTGTGTTAAATAGGGATAAACCCGAGCTATCTGAGGTGGTGGATTTGAACTGACGTGAAAAAAGCCAAAAATTACATTTATAAAAGGTGTCATTTTTGGCTTTAAAAAAAAAAAATTTAGCAAAAAAGATATAGCAGTATTGATAAATAAATCGCTTTATACAGTAGCAGATGTAAACCCCACTGCCCATGTTTCGGTGACAGACCTTGTCCACAGTGTTTTTAAGTAAAACTGCTAATCAGAAAGCAAAATCTCACTAAAAACCTTCCATACAAGGGTGTAATCCAAATATTCAACAGCAAGAAAAGAAAATGGAAGAAAGGTAATAAAGCCTCAAAAAATCCTCAATTTATTGTCTGCCATCTTAACACAGAAGCACTTTAACAACATGATTTGCAGCACAAAATATGTCAGATGTTGACTCCCCTCATCAATGCCAAGCCAGTCGCCTGCGCCTCTTTTCTAATGGATACATAAAGATATATCTATCTGACTTCACTCGCTAAGACTGGCGGGAGGATTCTGGCATTCCCTTTGTAGGATCTCTGCATAAACATGGTATACATACAGCAATTTTGCCGTTCGGTCTCCAGTTCCGTATTTAGTGAATATACGTTAAGTGCAGACATAATTTATGATGATTCTTGACCTTTGTTGATAGCAACCCAAACATCGTACATTGCATTATCTTGGAGACGAGCCAGTGTTGAACTGTAAATTTAGCAGTGACCCAACATTCAGCTACAATATAATATTTCTGCAAAGTATCTTCATTAGACTCTTACAATGCCACTGGATCTCAGCTATACTGGGGACTGCAACGTTGATACAGAGAACAATTTATTTTGCAAATGTAAATGAAGTCCAAATATATTGTACTTGCTACAAACAACAGAGACCTGCTAAAATTGTGAAGAGACACATGTTTGTAACTGTAGTCAGAGATTACCAATGACAGACTACAACTTTGGTTTAATAGCATCATCTGCCTGCCCCCTGGTGGTCAGTAGTTGTATGACTATGCTGCAACAGATTAAATTTACACAGATTTAAATTAGATTTTGCTTCCTATTTGTTGTCACTGTGGATTGTCCAAATGTATACATGTATACTTAACATCATTTGTTAACTCTCCCCCCATATTGTGTTAACCCCACTAAAGGGACACTACAGGCACCCAGACCACTTAATCTCATTGAAGTAGTCTTGGTGCAGTACCTTAGAGTTTCACCCTCTCCCCCCTCCCTCCCCCCCCCCACAGAAAAGCATTGATCAATGCTTTTCTATGGGTTTGCAGCTGACGCTGAATGTCCTCATGCATAGCGTGAGGACGTCCAGGGTCAATTAGGCGACCAAAAAACAACAACCTGGAAGTGCCTTGTGGCTGTCCAGTAAATTTAATCCAGCAATGTAATTATTCCAGTTTTTATTAACTGCAACAATTACAATTACAGGGATAAACTGACATGGACAGTGCACCCAGACCACTTAAATGAGACTGCCTCTAGTGGCTGTTTACCAGACAGCCACTAGAGGAACTTAATGGCTTTTCACAGAGTTTAACTCCATGAAACGACATTGGACATACTCACACTTTGCATGAGATGACTTCCAGTGTCTTGGAAATTCCCACAGGAAAGCACTGAGTCTTTGTTTTCCTATGGGGAAAGCCTAAAGCGCAAGCAGCACTCGCTATCAGAAAGACCGACCCAGTGCAGAGGGAGCTTACATAGAAACATAGAATGTGACAGCAGAAAAGAACCATTCGGCCCATCTAGTCTGCCCAATTTTCTAAATACTTTCATTAGTCCCTGGCCTTATCTTATAGTTAGGATAGCCTTATGCCTATCCCACGCATGCTTAAACTCCTTTACTGTGTTAACCTCCACCACTTCAGCTGGAAGGCTATTCCATGCATCCACTACCCTCTCAGTAAAGTAATACTTCCTGATATTATTTTTAAACCTTTGTCCCTCTAATTTAAGACTATGTCCTCTTGTTGTGGTAGTTTTTCTTCTTTTAAATATAGTCTCCTCCTTTACTGTGATTCCCTTTATATATTTAAATGTTTCTATCATATCCCCCCTGTCTCGTCTTTCATCCAAGCTATACATGTTAAGTTCCTTTAATTCCTTAAGGACCGCGGACGTACTAGGTACGTCCGACAAAATCCACGGTATTCCTTAGTACTGACTACTTCCCCCGCCGGCAATCGGTGTTGCTCCTGGTCTGAGGGGACTGTAGTATTTATAGAACAGTTTGGTTACTGACTGCGGGATGGTAACAGGGGACTCCTGGCACCATAACCACTGTGACACATTGTAGTATTTATGGTACAGTTTGGTTAATGACGGCGGGATGGTGACAGGGGACACCTGGCACCATAACCACTGTGACACATTGTAGTATTTATAGAACAGTTTGGTTAAAGGACCACTATAGTGACAGGAAAACATACTCGTTTTCCTGGCACTATAGTGCCCTGAGGGTGCCCCAACCCTCAGGGACCCCCTCCCGCCCGGCTCTGGGGAGAGGAAAGGGGTAAAAACTTACCTTTTTCCAGCGCTGGGCGGGGAGCTCTCTGCCTCCTCTCCTCCTCCGATCCGCCCCGTCGGCTGAATGCGCACGCGCGGCAAGAGCTGCGCGCGCATTCAGCCGGTCACATAGGAAAGCATTCATAATGCTTTCCTATGGACGCTGGCGTGCTCTCACTGTGAAAATCACAGTGAGAAGCACGCAAGCGCCTCTAGTGGCTGTCAATGAGACAGCCACTAGAGGGAATGGGGGAAGGCTTAACCCATTCATAAACATATAAACATATAAACATAAACATTTTTCATATGTTTATGAAAAAATGGGTTAACCCTAGAAGGACCTGGCACCCAGACCACTTCATTAAGCTGAAGTGGTCTGGGTGCCTAGAGTGGTCCTTTAATGACAGTAGGATGGTAACAGGGGACTCCTGGCACCATAACCACTGTGACACATTGTAGTATTTATAGAACAGTTTGGTTAATGACGGCGGGATGGTGACAGGGGACGCCTGACACCATAACCACTGTGACACATTGTAGTATTTATAGAACAGTTTGGTTAATGACGGCGGGATGGTGACAGGGGACGCCTGACACCATAACCACTGTGACACATTGTAGTATTTATAGAACAGTTTGGTTAATGACGGCGGGATGGTGACAGGGGACGCCTGACACCATAACCACTGTGACACATTGTAGTATTTATAGAACAGTTTGGTTAATGACGGCGGGATGGTGACAGGGGACGCCTGACACCATAACCACTGTGACACATTGTAGTATTTATAGAACAGTTTGGTTAATGACAGCGGGATGGTGACAGGGGACTCCTGGCACCATAACCACTGTGACACATTGTAGTATATATGGTACAGTTTGGTTAATGACAGCGGGATGGTGACAGGGGACGCCTGGCACCATATCCACTGTGACACATTGTAGTGGTTATGGTAGTTACAGCGGCTTGCCTGGAGAATGGGGTGAGTCCGGCTCCTTTCAGCTGGATCTCCCAGCGCTCGCCGGCCGGGTTCAGCACCTCTCCCAAGTACATGGCGGCCCCGTCCCCGAGCTGGCCGGCGAAGCTGCCGAACTGGTGTCCGCAGTAGCAGTGAGCAGCCGGCTCCGCGCCCTGGAACACGCGGTTCCCGCTCAGGAACTCAGCCACTTCCGGTCCAGGCTCCTCCCCTTCCGGCAGCCCCAGCAGAGCCAGCGCGGAGCGGGACAGCGCCACCACGCGGGGGTTGGACACTGCGCTAGGCCGCACCCGGGAGAAGCACGCCCCGGGAACCGACCGCGACCGCCGGGCCTCCTCCTCCGTGCCCTCCCCGGCCTCCACGGGCAGCGAGCGCAGGGCCAGGTTATCGAACTGCAGGGAGGCCAGACTGCGGCCCGCGGGCCCGGACACCACGCGCCTCATCACAACCGCCGCCAGCAGCAGCCGGAACCCGCGCGGAACCAGCCCGAGGAAATAACGGCTCCCAGCCCAGCGCGCGGCCATGCGCGTGCACGCTAATACAAAACAAACCCGGAAACAGCCTGCTCGGCGTCACGTGACCGCAGAGTTCTAAACACACAACACCAAGGGAGAGAGTTCTAAACACACACACACCACGGGAGAGAGTTCTAAACACACACCGGGGGAGAGAGAGTTCTAAACACACACACCACGGGAGAGAGTTCTAAACACACACACCACGGGAGAGAGTTCTAAACACACACACCACGGGAGAGAGTTCTAAACACACACACCACGGGAGAGAGAGTTCTAAACACACACACACACAACACCAAGGGAGAGAGTTCTAAACACACACCGGGGTAGAGAGTTCTAAATACACACACCAAGGTAGCGAGTTCTAAACAAATACTAGGGTAGAGCTCTAAACACACACTGGGGTAGAGAGTTCTAAACACACACCAAGGTAGAGAGATCTAAACACACACACTGGGATTGAGAGTTCTAAACACACCCTATGGTAGAGAGTTCTAAACACATACTAGGGTAGAGAGATCTAAACACACAAACTGGGGTAGAGAGTTCTAAACACACACACACCAAGGTAGAGAGTTCTAAACACATACAAAGGTAGAGAGTTCTAAACACACATACACACCAAGGTAGAGAGTTCTAATCACACTAGGGTAGAGAGTTCTAAACACACACACTAGGGTAGAGAGCTCTAAACACACACACACTAAGGTAGAGAGTTCTAAACACACACACTAGGGTAGAGAGCTCTAAACACACACACACTAGGGTAGAGAGTTCTAAAGACACACAATAAGGTAGAGAGTTCTACAGCCGGTCAGCGGACATTTTCTCGGAGACCAAACTTGTCACTGACAGGATCAGCAGTGACTGCACTGACTAGCAGGACAGCCAGGGGCAATGATAATATTACTAAACTGAAAGAATGTGACGTGGAGATTGATTGATTTTTCACTTGTGCTAGTTTGGTCTATAATTTGTATTAGATAAAATGTAACTTGTATGAGTGAATGAATATTGGCTTGGAATTGTTTTTATAAGCAGTTTACTCAGAAAGCACCAGGCAGGTTTATTCTTTAAAAACTGAATTATGACAGCGGCGTCAGAGCTGCCACACGCAGACACCCGGGCCCCTGGAAACAGGAACAAGCACTGAAAAAACAATATGCAGCCTTAGAACAGCGCTTTGCTCAGACGGAGGATGCAAGACGCCACACCAATCTCAAACTGCGTGGGCTACCAGAGGGGATCCCAAACGCAGAGCTCCCCCACCTTATAAGAACAATGGTGGGGTCTCTCCAACCGCCCAAATTGGCCAAGAATATCACATTTGAAGGCAACTTTTAGATCCCAAAGCAGAGAGGATCTATGCAGATCTACCATGCAATGGAGGAAATTCCTGCAGCCCCTCACAAGTCAACTTAGAGCCAACGACATCCCATACCGGTGGCAGTCACCACTGATAATCCAAATACCTACTCGATACAAAATCTACAACAAGCAGCCAACATGCAGGAAACCTTGGGACTCCCACGTAACTCCCTGTAACTACCCACAACGAAAGGGCCCTCTACAGCACAAAGCCTGTGGGACCCGACACGGGTTGCCCCGTTTAAACTGTCAATGGCACGCTCCGAGACCCTCACATCGGCCCCTATCTGAAACATTTTGCATACTCTCTGGCTATCAGAACGTTATCCTTAATACATTTTTAGGAATAAAAAATTCTTAATGTAACATATAAAAAATGACTGGTGACAAATGTGAGCATGTTTAGTGTTTGTATGTAGAGTTGGTTTTTAATTAAAGATTACAATTTACAGATTTTTTAAGCCACTCCTGCTTCTATACCTTATTGGTGCAAGTGGGTGGCTTCCCTGGGTTCCAGTGGCATCTGGCTGGATCTTATGGGAGTCAGATCCAGGCTGTGACGGAGCTCCCTGTAACCCAGCTGGGTACCTCAGCCAAGGGTTCGCTTCCTAGCTGTGGCTGGATAGGGGAACTAGCTCTGTACACTCCCAGGGGCTGGATGGCACGCACACAGCCCCAGGAGCTTTAGTCCTTATCAGGACTTTTCCCATTGCAACAAGCTACACATCTCTCAGACTTGTCTCAGTTAGTGCGGCTCCAGTGCGAACACCGGGCAAGGGAAGCGACTCTTTTCGGGATACGAATGCTTGGGTGGCGTTTGCCTATAATTTATTAATTACCTTCCTTGCGGTTTTGCACTTATGTTACTGGTGTGGACGTTTCAATAGGGTACCGGGGTGGTCCTCGTTCAGGAGACAAAACGGGTTCGAGTCGTATGAGAGCTCCCGAACAGTAAACAGGGCATATGACTCGAAATATATAGAAATACATGGGGAAACACAAAGGGACCACACTATAATAGGGAAAAACACACAAATAAGCAGTGGGCATGGTACTCCGTGATGGCGGTCCGTCACACAGGCTCTCCATCCTCTCTGCTCTTCCCCTCTCTCGCATCTCATTAGTAAGCTGGAAGAAAACGACTTGTACACACTTCCTCCAAGCACCGCGGCTTCACACAGATCAGGGGGCGTTGTTAAAGGGCCGCAGCATCCGACCGGTCCCGTATCAAAGAATGGCACCCGATGGGCCCCTTTAACATTGTTATTGACATTTATGTAGCGCTTTACAATATTATGAGTGGGGGGGGACAGGAACGATAGGTTGAAGAGGACCCTGCTCAAATGAGCTTACAGTCTATAGCTTGCAGAAGGTCGTTCCGCAACTGCGCCGCACAACGCCACACCTGATTTTTGCGCCAAGAGCAGCTGCACCATCTGTCCCGCCAGTAATTAGTGTCCACACAATATTCTCACATTATGTCGTATTTATTTAGTTTTAAAGTTAACCTTTAATCAGGCTTGTTCTCCAATATTATCTTAAATAACCATGTCTACATGTTTCATTTGGAATTAAAATCAATAGAAATTACTTTTTCAAGGCAGCAGTACTTAGGAATTAAAAAAAAAAATAAATTTAAGACCTGCAGGGCTACTTCTTCGTAAAAGGTTAAGAAATACTGGTATATGGCATACAAGTAAAAAATAAATTAAAAAAAAGTAGATGCTTTGTGTTTATGCATTAACTGTGCACATTTTACCCACTAGCAAATCCTCTGCAATGTGGAATATTACATTTTTACTCTTATTTTATAGAGATTAATGGGAAACACATGCTGTAGGGTGTGTACCATCTATGTGTACTGTAAATAATTTTTACAACCCTGTTAACCATTAATTTTGCACTGTGGTCACACTCCGCTTATGGACGCAGTGTTGTGCGCTGCTCGGGTGAGATCTAAATGGTAGAGGTTGCTGACGACATAACAATATAGTTAGATGAGCAGAGATAAGCATATGGACAATCTTACAATGTTCATTTGACTTTGATACCAGATTAATTAGAGCATTATTTATTAGGGGTAAAAGCAAATCTGCTTCTGTTTAGTACCCTTTCATCTGAATTGGTTTTATTTTATTTCTTTTCTAGATTTCAGGGAATGTTTCCCCCCCCCCCCAATGTTTAACAATCAAGTTGACAAAACTTGACAATTCTGCAGCGATTAAGCAAGATTCTGTTTGTTGCCAGATTTACCCACAATCCACAGACGGCAAACAACAGACATCGTGGACAAGGGAGAACAAAATGGCTGAAAACAGATATTGAGATCCAGTGCAAGAAAGAAAAGAGAATATAAGTAGTGGAAAGTGGCAAAGGAGGCAGTATAATTATTAAGATACAGGCATATGGTGGGGTGGGGACACAAAAAGAAAACAGGGCTGTTCATAATATTTTCTTATTCAGTGACAAGAAATATATTCATGTTAAAGCGACACTATTTAAGAGAGGGCGTGGGCGGCCATCTATGTTGTTTTTTTAACACTTTAGGGTCAGGAATTAACATTTGTATGTCTGACCCTATAGTGTTCCTTTATTACGTACGCTGGGAGAATCCTGCCAAAATGACTAATGGCGGTAGTCACAATCAGGACATCACAACCTAAACTAAAAACAAAAAGTGATAGAGTAGAGCGCTTTTCATGAAATATGTGCAAAATTATTACTATAGTGACATCTTATGGATGGATGCTGGTACTTTCTTGCATGATGCTCTGTGGAAGTGTATAGCATCTCATTGCGCATGCATGAGAAAATAATTTGTAATTTTGCACATTCACATAAAGAAAACACCCGTGTGCTTTACTGGCTAGAACCTGTAGATCATGGGTCCTCAAAACTCCGGCCCCCCAGATGTTGCTGAACTACAACTCCCATGATTCTTTGAATTACATAGATAGCCAGAGAATCATGGGAGTTGTAGTTCAGCAACATCTGGGGGGCCGTAGTTTGAGGACCCATGCTGTAGATGGACCAGAACATGACACATTTGGAGATGGGATAAGCCACAATGCTATGATTGCAGGTGTGACATGCTAGATTACAGACATGTACCACATTTATCCTAAATGAGGGCAAATAACCCATTTACATAAACACAACATCTCAAGCTAGAAAGGTTCTAGAATGTCTGTGTTCTTGACTTCATTTTACTTTACAATCAAATTGAAATATGGTAAACGTACAACAAAATGTAAAACACATACAGTGCGAAATAAGTGTTGTGGAAATAAGATATTAACCTAATTTTTAGCTAGTAAAATGTCTACTTACTCATTTAACGATAATCAGCATTACTCTACTTTTATGTGATTAATTAAAATGGCCGCTAGGAGCTTCCCCTCTAACATCGACTAACTACCTTGTGTAACAAGATGGCGCTGGAATCTGGGGGAGACCCTCATGATACCAGTGACATCACCCCTTGTAGGCAGAGCATTAAGAGAACCACTTAACACCTAACCAATTAATGATGTATTATTTCATGTTATCTCTGACAATGCATATGATGTAATTTTGCTTTAAAAGGGACTTGCCGTCCCTCTGAATAAACATTCCCCAAGTTTTTCATCAACCTGAAACTTGTGTCTGGTGTGAATTACTTCAGGGAGAGTGCACACATTGTTTCTTTAATTTGGCCAGGGGCAGATACACAAAATAATCAATTTATTGATTGATTTCCACTTCAATTGGCGCCCAACGTGGGGCTCCGGATTTGCCGATTCGGAGGGCCGGACACCAACGGATCGGACAAAGTGGGACCACCAGAGCCTGATCACCTCCACAATACAGCCGTTGCCTGTATTCTCCTGTTTTGTGTCGGTCTGCCTCTGCGTCCACTTCCGGCTTCCAGAAGGCTACAAGACAGGTAATCCCTTATCCGGTGCCTCTTTTAATGAACCTGTCGATTGTCTATCTGCCTCCTGAGTGTTTGTATGAATGTGTATGACAGCCGGTGCATGTGTTTTCCTTTTTTTAAACTTTAGCATACAGCGGGTAAGGGGCTGGGAACCACCCGGGTAACAGGGTTGGGGTACTACGTACAGCCGGTAAGGGGCTGAGAACCACCCGGGTAACAGGGTTGGGGTATTAAGTACAGCCGGTAAGGGGCTGGGATACAGCCGACGAAGGGCTGGGTACCACCTGGTGGAAGGTGGGGTTTTTACTGTAGACCTGGTAAAGGGTCGGATTACAGCCTAGAGAGAGAAAGGCTGGGATTGTTACTATTTGCGGTTTGGTACTCTCTGGTTTAATATGTACATGGCCATATTATTCTCTGTCATTCTGTGGATTTTGTTTAATTGTTGCTACAGTGTGGGCACCCTCAGTGTGTACGTGTGTGTCGTGTGGCTGATCCTGGATTCTGGGGTTCACACTCATCTCTATGTGTGTGATTTCTGTTAATGCCTTTTGCTTAGTGTTGCCACGTTTATCTTTTCCTTTGTTCTTTATCTTTCCTGTGCCTGCTGCCCAGAGCTGTGTTAGTCACCCACGCTCGCTCGGGTCCGTGGCCACCATCTCGAGTGGGCGGACCCCTGTGACTAGTCTACGTTTAGGGAAGATGCACGGGACCCAAGTCCTCGTGGCAGTCGAGCACTGTAGACTTTCCTTTTTCTTCTTCTCCCTCCCCCGGTCCCTGTCACGTGGAACCCTTTGTTTGGTCAAGATGGGACAGGAACATGCTAAACCTGCTAAGGGATTTTTGGCTTGTGATATTGTAAGAGAAAGAGCAGGAGATGATGCTATGTTTACAATTAAGAAAATAGCTAAGCTTTGTGGTTTTCAAATGTCACCTAGTGGTAGGTTACAACCTGAGTTTTGGAGGAAACTGCTTGTTGACAAAGAGGGTTTATTGCTGGATAATGGGTTGATGAAAGCTGTAGAGGCTTGGTACCGGGTCGCTAGAGGTCTCAAACGGGAGGGTTGGACAGAGGAAGAGTTAGACTTTGAGGAGCAAACGATTTACGTGTATCACCGTAATGTTTGTAATGATGATGTATCCCCCACTGTTTCCCGACCACCGCCCTATGATGGCGCCCAGAGCGTGTTGATGAATTCCCACCCAGCTTCCCCCGTTAACGCCTCCTTGTGGTGTAGGTCAGGTCTCCACCCCCTTGTGTCCCGTGCTCGTAGCTGATGGAGCCTATTATTACCCAGTACCGATACATTCCTTTCCTCATACTCCTACAGCCCAGCCGTCCTTCCAGCTTCCCACTGCCCCCGACCAGGCCCCGTCATCATGCCTCCTCCCAGCCCTCTATTTCCTTGTCCCCCGCCCCTTCCACTGTCTCCGCCTATTCCTTCAGTCCTTCCTCCCCCCGTCCCAGATCCCGTCCCGTTAGCTCCTGCCTTGCCTCCTGATGTCACTGCTCCGCCTCTTCCCTCTGCTACCTCTACCTCCCCAGTCTGTTCATCTCCTACTACTCCTGCTGTCTTGTTATCCTCCCTCATGATACCAGTGACATCACCCCTTGTAGGCAGAGCATTAAGAGAACCACTTAACACCTAACCAATTAATGATGTATTATTTCATGTTATCTCTGACAATGCATATGATGTAATTTTGCTTTAAAAGGGACTTGCCGTCCCCTCTGAATAAACATTCCCCAAGTTTTTCATCAACCTGAAACTTGTGTCTGGTGTGAATTACTTCAGGGAGCGTGCACGCACTGTTTCTTTAATTTGGCCAGGGGCAGATACACAAAATAATCAATTTATTGATTGATTTCCACTTCAATAAGATCTCATCTGTAAGGTTAGTGAAGAATTCTTTAAAAACGCTTAATTTGCCACGGACGTCTATTAATTTATCAATCGCTGGTTTCGTCTGTACCTCTGCAGTACTGGGAAGCCCAATTAAACAACACGCACGTTGCTGGTTTAAAAGGACTACGAATGTTATGGTAGCACACAATAGTATATGAAATGAGAATTATATATGCCCCTTATTGGATCATCCAATAGTGTACTAACACATAGTTCCTAAAGGGGCTTAAAGGAAATAAAGGGGGCAAGGGGAGATAGAGAGGGAGACACATTCTTGCAGTATTCGTGATATGGGGGGATGGTAAATAAAATACTAACAGGTGGTCACTGCCATAAAAAAAAAGAAAGAATACCAATGTATAGGTATGTACATCCAACTCCCTGTCTAAAATGAGCAGAACTTAGCTTATTGGCCTAGTAGCTTTTTCACCAACATGTTGAAAATTAAGAAGCATACAAATAATCTATCATCTGTATATGTTAATCTGCTGATCTCCATTTTAAGGCTCTCCAAGCAAAAACAGGGCTGGTAAAGAAGGAAAAACAGCATATGCAAAGGATGGTTATAATTGTTTATTTTGTTTTTAGAATATAAATCACGTAATGTTCCCCCTTTAAACCTTAAAAAGGCACGCTGCTATTGCAAAAATTTACAAACGTGTGCACCCTTTATAAGACCCAGGCATACGCAACATTATGGCTTTACTGTTTTCAGAGAAGACTGGAATAATAGGTCTTTAGTTTATTAAATGTCAAGAGTTTGCTATAGAATCTTTGAAAAATATCAAATATGTGTTAAGAAAACAGAACCGAAAAAGGGCATGTTATAAAAGTCCATAATCCAACCAATTGTTTTAAGACGATCTGCATAAACTAATTCCTAAAGGATTATGGATTAGAATGCACACTAATCTTTCTAAATTGTAATTACAATATTGATAAACCACACAAGCATGAATCAGATTCTCTCAATTGTTTCAAGGAAATTTCATTTGAGCTCAGATAAAATTGTTTGAATCGTAATAACCGTGGAAATGTTAAAAATATTCCTGTGAAGAAAAGCAATGATTTATAGTTTGCATTAGTTGTTCTCAAAACAAGATATGTTCCATCCCCGTGGTGATTGAGGGTGTTCATACGAAACAGGTGAAAATGCAGAGTGAATATTCCTGGCCCGCCAGACTGATTGGGGAACACCATCCAACATTTCTAGCACAAGACATGAAAATGTTACATTGGAAATTCCACCTTTAAGGACAGCCGTTATAAGACAAGGATACGTTCTACATGAATAACATTTAGTGTTTACAATGTCCATAGGCAGCTGCACGCAGTCACTTGGCCTCAAAGTAAATCTGGATCATTAGTTGAAATTACTGCAGAATCTGTCCAAATTCAAAATCGAAAATACAGAGCTCTTCAATTATTTTGTCCATCTCTCTTGAATAGGAGAGGAGGTAAGTGTACACGTTCTATAAAGAATTAGATGTACAAATAGCAAGATTGCAAGAAGGAGTGAGACAGACAGACCTTATAGGAAAAGAAGGAGAGGGGTGGGGGGGAAGAGAAAAAAAAAAAAAAATGAATTCGAAGAGAAATTCAGATTTCAGGCCGTGGTAGCCAAAACTGGAAGCATAGCAGACAGATTTTTCAAATACAGCTATTTTGACCTTAACTTGAAATTCTCACTTAGGTGAATAATCCTGAATGTCTGACATGCACACAATCAAGGAATTCAAAGCATTATGAATCAACTACAGTTAAATGCACTTCTTCCAGTTTGTAGTAACAGGCACTATTAAATGTTTGTGTGTGGTTTGTTTTGTTTTTTAATGTGGACAACAAATTAATGACAGAGTTTTATCACATTTGATTCAACAACTTCTATACTTCCATCCACAAAAATAGATACACAATATGCAATAGACAAAAACCACAGTTGTAATCGTACCAGTCAAAGACAGCCAACTATCCAATATGTTAAACGTTTTATCAAATCTCTCCATTGGAACTAAACCGTCCATTGTCCTTGATGGCTGGTTTAGAAAACCAATGCTCTAACATCTTTCTTATTATTTAATTTGGAAATTTACGGGCACCTCCTTCAAAAATCTCTACTAAATTATTTTTTCACAAAGACATTTCAGTAATCGAAGAAAGTATGTGCTCATCTCACATATGAGCACACGCACACACAAAAAAACAAAAAAAACAAATCCACCAAATTATACATAATGTTTTAATAAGGCTAAATTACACTCATTAAAGTCCTCTATCAGAGAGCCAGATTTTGTTGTAATTGCTGCATGGTGAATCTTAAAATCTATGAACAAACAGCACTTGGCACCCAATTAGTTTACTTAATTAAGCCATTGTAACATTAATTACAAACATTTCTAAAAAGGAACCAATGGTTTTAAAAGTAGAAAATTGAAATTTGGAAATAAAGACACAAAAGCAAGCTGCAGAGTGAAAATACAATATACGGGGCATATTTACTAAGCTGCATGTGGCCCAACATGAGATGTAATGTAAAATACCACTGCTTCATCCTTGCATTATTCGGTGACAAGTGACAAGTGACAAAAAAGTTATTAACAAGGTAGTTTTTCAACAATGTGTACCTAGAAATAAATTTACTCATGAAATTTAAAAATCTATAAAAGTGAGATAAAAATTAAAAATAGATAGATTAGAAAAAATTCCAATTCATACACACAGTGTTTAGAAATTCCTGAGGCACACATAAAACTAAAGTGAAATATTCAATAATTTCTATTATATAGCCTAGAAATAGCTTAAAAGTTATATCTAAAATATTTTGGTATGCAACAAAGCTTGATTAAATTCTGCAGTAAACACATGAGGAGCAAACTACTAAACTAGTTACATTTTCATAAATGCGAGAAAAAAAATTATGAAATTTGGGTGACAAAAGAAAGTATAAGCGGTAGCATATTATTGAAAAAGCTAATTATATGTTTGTACCAATAGGCAAGTCAGAATGCTCAGGAAACCGACACTTGCCCTAAAGAATTTAAATTGGGCTTGAAAATTAATTATGTAAACGCATATATAGGATAGGTAAGTGAATTTTTTTAGCAGGGTATATAGGGTAAAATTCAAATACCAGTTAAATCTTATAAAATGCATTATTCAGGTCACTTTGTGTTCGAGGGGCTCCACTAAAATAATGGGGTTTGGGAAAAACCAAGTGTCAAAATAGGCAAAGGCCTTGCAGTGCGGTGGCCGGCGGTTGCAGCAGAAGGTAGTTTTTACTTACCAGAACATGTCCATTTCCATCTTTTTCTGCAAAGTTCCTTCCAGCTCCTCGCGCTGGGAGTACAACACTGATGTCTATAGGATATCCTCCAAGAACCTCCATAGACAGAGCCTCCTTTCCCACAGCCATCACTACTGATGGCTGAGAGCTTAAAGCTTGAGAGCTTTGTTTGTAAACAGAGAAGGTCCTATTTGGAAAGGCCAGGGGTGACTAATAAAAATAGCTTTTTTTCTGCACATGTATCCTATATTAATGCATAAACCATAGAGAGATTCTATTTTGTACATATTCAACAAACTTGCCTCTATGACAAGGGCATTACATTTAGTGGGAATCAAATAGTTCTGTTTTAAGCCTCTTCTTCTACTCTGAGAGTGTCAACATTCTTTACCCAAACCAGTGACAACAGCAGCACAAGAAAATGTATAAAATATTACTATGGGCGTGCTAATGCCACATGGCTTTTATCATTATGATCATCTCTAAATAATTACACGGCCTACATGTTACACTATTGACTAGTTAAAGGGAGAATAAACACCATAACCACTACAGTGGGATGCAATGGTTATGGTGCCACTAGCCCCTTGTGACTTGTGTTACCCTTCATTCTGTTTCCAAACATTTACAGCAACAAAAAAGGCCCAAACACAGAGCAAGCAATGACATTACAAGTGTTTGAACGTCCCTGCAATGCTTACCAAGAAAGCCTGTGCAGTAGCAACAACAAACTCCAATCACAATAACGAACTATTCGGTAAGCCAACTTTTATTAGCGCCTCTCATCTTGAAAGATACTATTGCCTGGTGCCAAGTTAAACATGCCCCAAATTCTTGCTGGGCAGGAAAACATATAGAATTAGTGCAATACTCCCACTCAGAACAAAGAACCAGGATTGGATGAGGTTTCAACTACTAGCTGGTGCGAGGAAAGCGGAATGCAGAAATTGCAAATGTAGTAAGAATATTTTATCAATTTTTAAAAAAATATATATACACACATACATAACTCCTTACATACAGTCTTCTCCAGCCTGTGTTGTCCCTTTAACACAAAAAAAAAAAAAAAAAGTGTCCTGTACAGACATGGAGAAAACTCCAAAACATTGCACATGGGAGGGACAGGCTCAATAAAATATTGGCTCAAATTAGCATTCCACGTTCCTTCAATTTAAATAATGGTTTTAAGGGAACATCTTTGTTCTAAACAAGATAATTCATGTTTACATTGAGGCAGGTTCACCTCTATTTCTGCCCTATATTCACAAATGTAAAACACCGTATTAGGTTTTCTGCAAAATATAAAACTCCCGACACCGCTCTCTAAAAGGACTAGACAGTGATTTTCTATGGTGAGAAGAATAAAAACGTGACTGTGATTTGTGAAAGGAAGACATGCAGGGATAGGTGCAAGAACTACTAATTACAGTACATATTTTATAAATCTGGGGGAGGGGAGCTATCAAAATGAGTCCATAAAGGAGCTAATTTGCAAGTCTGATTAAAGTTTTTTTTAAGGAAGGCTTCCCAACTTTCGTGTTAAGAAAAAAGGGTTAAAGTCACACTCACTAGATATTTACCGAAAATGAAACAAACAATTTGTATGTATGTCACCTTTCTTTAAAGTGTTATCAGACACTATCGAGAAAGTACAGCAACATATGAAAACACAAAGCTATAGCCCTTTAAAGTAATGTCTTGATTTCAGTTTGGACCATACATTTGTGTAAATGAGTTTTCTAATAAAAGCTAAAGATTTTAGAAGCACACAATAGTTAGTGAATGCAGCTTTAACACTTTTTATATAAACAAAAGAAAGGCTTGATGAGCAATTATTAGCAATCAAAAACTCCCCGTCTATGCCCATAAAAATTAATTTAAAAAAATAAACCACCAACAAACCTCTTGTGTATTAATGCATAGATAATTAGATTTTGTAAAATTATGAGAAGGCTGAACAGGTGTTCATATGCACTTCTTCAGATGATTAAAGGCAGTGTATATAGTTATAGCGTTATAAAACTTGGTTAATTAAGTGGACAGGATAAAGAAAGTGTTTAACCACCAAGAAATTTAGTGAAAACCTCAATGTACAGACATAAATTCACCCACGAGACCTAGAGTAGAGAGTAATTTGCTTGGTGTTTCACACCACAAGAATACTTTTGGTATAACACGTAACACTCTTGCAGTGCACACTGGGAACCCATTATAGTACCGTTAGAGAGTGCAGTCCAAGAAAGGAGAATGTAATAAGATATTTAAATGGATCCATCGACACCTCAGCCTCCAGGGTACCAGTTAGCATGTAAATCTTTCCTACGGAAATACATTTAGGCTGGTGTAATTTCAGAACAATCACTTAAAATGGAGAAACCCCCTGCTAACTATGCTCCTGTATCAAATTTCGAAAAAGTGGCTCAATGGCGTGCCTCGTCTCGATTACATTTTATAGACTGGGCAGGTTGCACACTGCTCACTTCAGAGGCTCATTCGGTTCAGTCTTTGAAGGCAATATTGTGTGGCTGGCACTGAGAGAATCATCCGAACAGTCCTTTTACTAATACAGTAACAACCGTAACCTAAGAGTCCGAAGAACGTCACTTTTACAGCAATAGTAACAATCTTGTTCAGTGTTGAAGGAGGAGGCACACTAAGAAAAAGCAGATAATAAAATGAGTTACCACAGAATTTACAGGATATTTAATTTGCAGGCTTAAACAGAAGTAAAACACTTACACAAAGTGCTCTTATGTCATAAAGTTAGCACTTTAAAAGGATTTCAGTATTTTATAGGAAATATATTTTAACACATACCTTTTGTATATATTAAAACGTTTTCCCCAGACTCTGATGATCCTCAGCCAGCCTTACAATGACATTGTTATACAAACTTGCCATAATGTATAGAATAGGGGGAAACCAATATGCATCACTCCAGAAACTACAGCTTCCTCTTACCTTACGCCCAAATATATAATTAAAAATAATTATTTAAATAATGAACCATTAATGTCACCATTTCAACTTTGGTTATTCTCATCACGACAAAAACTCAAAACATTGATTAACTGTACCTTGTTTGCTGCATTTTTTCTAATAATCAGCAATACCTACTCATTAATAACCATGCATTTAATAAAAGTGTGTGTGTGTGTTTGTTGTTGTTGGTGTGAACAGTTTCACTTCCTATTCCTCCCTACAGCGTGGCAGAAGCCAGAATCTTTTAGAGTTTGTATTTAAAATGACTGTTCGCAGTTCTATCCAATAAGGAAGTAGTTGGGGAAATATATCCCACCTCCTCATATTTAGCACAAACCGTGCAATGCCCTTAGGTCCCCTTGAAATAGGTTTCAATGCTGGCATAATCACAAATGAAAGTTAAAGCAAGGGAGACGTGCTACAGTTGACACACAAAAAGGGTTTATTCACAACATTCCTAAATCCAGCAAATTAATATTCAAATGGCCAAATTTAGGCTACAATAGTAAAGCTACGATTATAGCTGCCATGGAGAACTTTTCCAGAACAGCTCATTTAGTCTAAATGTTGCCATTCAAATTTCAGCTCACTGCAATTCAGTGTTTTGTGAACACACTCCAGTGTTAACACCATTAGTGTTTACCTCATGATCTCATGGATGTTGACGTCATTGACCCAGTTCTTTTCAATCCCAGGCACATGTCCCATCCCGACCACTCCAACCACAATGGATGGGATGCTTTTTCTAGGCTCTGCTGTAGAAACAGAAAATAATAAAAAAAAAAAAAAAGGGTTATTGAACAAAATGTATTTTTTATAAACAAGAAGAATTAGGACAAATACTCAAACATCTGCTGCGTTAGATGGTGGGGTTTATTCTCCAAACAGAGACAGTGGAGAATTCACAAAGGAATGGGATATTTTAGAAAGGTAACAAGGGTGAATAAATTGCAAAGTGTGGCTGTTTTGGCTTATAATTTGCAAAATGATAAAATACTCAGGTCAATAAACTCCATTCTAAAGAATAGTGTGCGTTTCTAAGCAGCGTTTTAATGAGCGAGATTGAGCTTCAGGAAAGACAAAGAACAGCAGAGATAGAAATAATAGGTTGACACTCAAAATCAAACCAGTGATACACAAGCAATGCTTATTGAGATAGAAGACCCATTCTAATATTGTCGCAGCTTTCCATCCCAGACAGCAGCTGCTGTACATCCAGCAAATGTATCTTTGTTTGCTCTGATTCATTCATCCGTTTGTATGGTTCTTTTATTAAAAAATTTATCATTGCTACAAATCAATATTATTCGGTCACAAACTTAAAAAGATATTCCCATCAGTATTCAGGCTTATGTCATTTGTACTTTACGGATGTTATTACAATTACATCACAGTTTTGTCTGTGCACGATGCTTGAAATGTCTGAAAATAAATCAAAACAGTTGTGGAGCTGGATTTCACTGATCTGTGGAATTATGTCTAATTCCATATTGAAACTGCTCATTAAAACAGATGAGTTACCATAAAAAAATCTGCACCAATATAATCCTTGCACCATAACCACTAGAACACACCATACTGATCATGGTGGCTAGAGTATACTTTTAAAAAGTGCGGTATTTAGCCATAGATAAACTGAACATACGATTGAGAGCCTGGTGGATCAAAGTCTTGATGTGAAACATTGACCATTACTCATTCACATCACATGATAGGAGAGCATTAAGTCTATTGTACACAGTTCTTTCTGCTTCCTTAGAATTCAAATGTTTATAAAACCTACAGACAGACACGCATAGTAAGGGAAGGTACACTTACTTTCAGAGGTACATGGTAATTCTATTCTTTTAGCAGCTTGCTTCAGCATGTAAGTGAGATACAGATCTCTCTCGGAGACTATGGTACGGTGCAAATCTGGGAACTCTCCAATCATCTCAGCCATCATCTGCTCCAGCAAATCCTTCTGCTTGCACTTCTCCACGTCATCCTCACTAAAAGAAAGACTCGTGTTACATGGAAATGGGTATCCAATGAATATCCAGCACGTCTAGACCTTTTAAATAGCCCATGATGATGTGTAGATTTATTTATGATGATTTTATTTTTCAAATCAGATGTGACAGTGGTTTCACTTTAGAAGCTTTCATCTCTTGCTCGAATAATGGAACGTTAATCCTGCGGTCTATTAACAGAGGCAAGAAATTTTAAATGAAAGCGAATGTACAAGAAAGGAAGTTAAAACATCTCGGGGGCAGGGCCTGACTACCGAGCAAGCAGGACGCATGTTGAAGGAGCTCCTCGGCAAATACAGAGAAATTGGCCCAAAACTTGTTATCTGCTATAAAGTACCGGCTGAACCCGATCTCTGAAGGCATGGGAGAGGCCCGGCACCAATTTCTACCACCCTGCTGAGAGCTTTATGGGCTCTGACAGTCATTGCGGCCTACAAACTACACTGAGGCGGAGGACGCGGCCGATCTCCCGCCTCACCTACAAATCGTCGACGGTCTTGGCCACGCTTCCCCCCCTATGGGCCGGTGGGGGTTATCCCAGCCCCCACGAAGCAACAGGACACAAGCAAGTGTTTAAAAGCATCAAGCAACTGAAACCACAACCCGGCACGCTAGCTGCAAAGATGGCCGCCACACGAAACCCAGATCTCTGGGCTCCCCACGAGGACAGCATAACAAGGGCATTTGATCGCTTTTGGGCGCAACTCTGGGAGAAACTCGCCGAACAGGCACAAGTATCGGCAACCGCAGACCCAATACAAAAGCTAGTGGCGACAAAAGCACCACAGCCTGCACCACTTAGTGGCACTGAGAGGCTGATCATAATAAAGAGACTGAGGATACCCCGACTCAGTACGAGCTGTCCCACTACCAGAGTTCACCTGCCTGAAACCCAGTCCGTGCAGGTGGGACCGCCCTCGTGCGGCTCTCAGCCAGAGATGACGAGCTCCCCACGGAGACACCGGCTACCGGCTCACACCACCCACAGCACTCATGCACGAGAGACACAGCCGGTCCCTATGTGTCACCGGAGGGGAAGAAGCAAACCTCAATGGCACCTACCAACAGGCACACATGCCAAACACCACCCTCCAGGGTCACTGCGCTTCCCGCTGTCAGCTAACCAAGGACTTACCTTGCATGGGAGGAGTCGTGCCGGGGCTATCTGGCCTGCTGGACTCCTGTGGACGCCACATGGTCTAAGGACAACATTTGCTATCTCACTTGAAACAACTCTCTCTTTTTGGCTGTATTATTTACTTGCTGGAGCCCTGACGCTAGCCAGTCTGATTACATGCCACTCCACGTTTCGATGTTAGCAGTGGGATTTGCCCAGAGAAAGAAGCATGTCAGTTTTGACAGTAGTTAATGGCTTGTTGTGTTATTGTGTTATTATCTTAAATATGTCTACTCAGCATGGAATGATTGAGCCAAAACAAAATGAGACATACACTGAGGCACGATGCAATTCCCGCTGCATTTATCCAGCTAGTACATTCACCTTTTGAAAACTCTAGATGGCATGATATACGCTCCCCTTTATTGGTTACTAAACACAACAGAGCTAGCATTGTTAATTATTATAATTTTCCACTTTCATCATTTTAAGTTAACCTCATCAGTACCCAGCAGCATATCTCGATACAGAACCTAGTCACGATGCTTAGACTATGATTAACAGAGAAACACACATGAACAGCCCTGTTCATCATCACATCAGAATAGTACAAGACTTGAGTATGTTACCTAGCTTGTTTAACGTTATATGTACCTAGACTCACTGTTATAAGCACACGGCCTGTCTTCACAATGCCAAAGCGTTAGACACAACCTGCGCTATGACCATAAAAACAAAAATGTGCTTGTTCTATCATGTACCTATATGTTTAACTACTGTTTTAATGCGCTGGAGGATTGCCTTTGGGGTACCTCACAAGCGAGTATTATAAATCCTACGCACAACAAAAATAAAAAAATATAAAAAAATAAAAATAAAAAAAACATATCTCACTTTACAGGAAATGTGTAAGAAGACTGTGTAGGTAACATGCAGGAGAGGTATTGCTAGGGCTCTATAATCAAAGTGAATTAGCTCCTAAATGGCAGAGAATTGGTCAGTTAGATTGCAGAGGCACAATCTATACACTATAACCACTTCATAAAACCAAATTGTTTTGGTGGCTTTAGTGTCCCTTTAACATCTATGGATTTCAGTGGGCCTCTTCAGTTTTTCTGATCTACTGAGAAAATACTATTACAAAGTACAATATCACATCACATCTGTGACCGTAGACACTATCTTTCTCTTTTCAACATATGTTGTGCTCTACGTGTAATCTTGACATTAGAATTGCAATGTTTGCTAAATGAATCACAGATCCAAGTAACCAAGCTGGCAATAGAATGGCTGCTAGGTCTCCAGGAATCTGGTTGCACGTACCTGATGGGGTCCGATAAGGAGCACAGACCCCAGGCTAGCTTCAGTTTTTGCCAGAATGAAAGTGCAGCTATGGCTCTCTTGAACGTAACCGGAATAGGTCTGTCCCCAAGGTGAAACTTGCAGAAGGGCACTTTGCTGGCCTGAAAAGTAAAACATCCCAACAAAAACACCTTAACAACAACAACAACAACAACAACAATACAGAAAGCAATACACTCAAAAAGAGTATCAAGTCGGACATTTATGTAGTTCCAATTCTCTAAGCCTCCAATACAAAGGCCTGTTAAAATGCGAATAGCACCCCCTGGTGTCTTTATTTGGTCACACACACAGTTTTTCTCACCAAAATGAGGATTGTTGGGAATTCACAGTGAATTTAGAATGTAAGGCCAAAGTAGATTTACTTGAAGAATTGGCGACTTGGAGCTATTTTGGCATTAGACTTTAAATCTACTTTGAATTCCCAACAATTTTCACTTTAGTGCAGGAGTAGGCTTATCTCCCCCAGAATGCTGGCAATGCAGGGGATCCGTAGCACCAAAGGCTGCCTACCTCTGCTTTAGTAAAAAAGACCTAAAAGAGCGCAGTGAATTGGACATTTCCACATATGTTTAAGTATTTGAAGCTTTTTATTCTAGTAGTTTGTATCAACGGCTGTGTGCTTAGTAGAGTTTTGTTATGTATTCTAGAAGCTTTGATCTTTCACATTTTGGGAACATAATCTACAACTAGACAACCTGGAGCCTCTCATTCAAAATTAGGCCCAACGAGTTGAAACATTTGTTACGTGGACTTTGTAACTGACCTCTTTGAAAGCCTCTCTAAACTCTCCTCCAGGAGCCATTCCCAGCTGCTGAGTGATGTGGGCAGAAACTTTCAACAAAAGCATCTGCATGAGACCAGACATGACTCCATTCTGCAGAAACACAGAAATAAAAATATAATTAATCTAATAAAACAAACAGAACAAAAAAAACACCCACTTCAAATGACTGCATAACCGCTTCCAAAGTAGAAAAACTTTTACAGGATGTATTAAAAAAAAAAAAAAAAAAATAATATTGAACGTAACCGGAACAGGTCTGTCCCAAGGTGAAACTTGCAGAAGGGCACTTTGCTGGCCTGAAAAGTAAAACATCCCAACAAAAACACCTTAACAACAACACCTTAACAACAACAACAACAACAATACAGAAAGCAATACACTCAAGAAGAGCATCAAGTCGGACGTTTATGTAGTTCCAATTCTCTAAGCCACCAATACAAAGTCCTGTTAAAATGCGAATAGCAACCCCTGGTGTCTTTAATTGGTCACACAAACAGGGTTTCTCACCAAAATGAGGATTGTTAGGAATTCACAGTGAATTTAGAATATAAGGCCAAAGCAAATAAAGTGTATAAAAAAAAAAAAAATTACCTGTTATTTTAATGGCCAGATGGAGTTTTTAGAGGAACACCCACACCCCAAAAGCACTTCTGCTTGCTGAAGTGCTTTATGGGTGAGGAATACGCTCATTTTACCCAAGTTTATAAAAGTGCTGAGTTCTTTTCAGAGATCACACACTTTTATAAATTTTACTTTTGGAGGGTCAGAGTTGGGGGGTGGGGGGAGGGGGCGAGGAGGTTTTGGAAGTGTGGAGTCATCCTTTAATGAAAGCGGTTTGTTGTGTAGATTATGCCTCGGCAGACATTCTGATCTCCTGCTCTGTTAAATGGACTTTTCTCACACACAGGAGGCTGCTTTAAGTTCTAATAGGCAATTAAAATAGCAGGAGAAAGAAATATCTAAATATACAAACATACTGTGCAATAAAGCAAGCTTAAATAAATCAATATAAAGCAGCAATCTGAATTATGGTGGGGAAAAAATAAAAATGAGGAACTCAGCCAATCAAGGGGAGTGCAGTCACTTTACTTTTGTTTTGTTAAGTGCAATGTGTGCAGTGTGTCTGACTCAATATGCACCTTACCATACCAATTTATTTACATTCAAAGCACAATTACATTTCAGTCCAAACAGTAGACCTCTGTAAATTCTTAGAAAGAATAAGCAACTAACTTTGTTTTAGTAGAAAACACACCCCACCCTCATTATTACATCACTATTAATTAAGTTAATATTTAAAGGGTTAGTCCAAGCATGACTCCTCCTCCAGTGATTTGAAGTGGTCATGATGCCTTGTGTCTTTATGTGCAGCATTCTGCTTTGACAACACTTCACATATGGAGATTAACTGCAGCATCGTAGAGGTGTCATTAGTCATAATGCACAGAATGTCAATTGTGTGTGTATCCCTAAGCACAGAGTGTCTTTTATTGGCGAGAGGACAAAGCCATATTACACTTTGTATGTGTCTAGTAAAATACATTGCGAAGAAAACAATTACCTGTTTAATGGCTTGATGGAGTTTTTCCAGGTTGATTTCTTTGGCTTCCTTGAGCAATGTCTCCTCATCCATCTTTAACATGGACACTCTGTACTGACAGAGTTCAACAACAACCACATCCGGCTGGACCTCCTGGATAGTCTGCAAATGTACGATATATTAAGTAAGAAAGCTCAGGACACCTGGACAGTTTGGATTCATGGTAAAACCACATACCTACAGCTCACTGTAATGGTTATTGTGCAGAGAGGTTGTGGGTTGAGTCTGCTCATATTTTGTTGAAACACTCTCGAATTTGTGTGACAACACCTGGGGCTCTTGACGCCTACAGTCGGGGAAGGCAACCTTCAGCAGTCCAGATGGCGTAGACTACATCTCCCATAAAGCTCTCAAAGCAATAATAATGGCAAAGCCTTAAAGAGAGATGTAGTCCACAACATCTGGTGTGCCAAGGTTCAAAAGCTCAGCCTGAAAACTACAGACCCATGAGCTTAACATCAGTGGTGGAGAAATTATTTGAAGTGCTGTTTAGAGATAATATTCTAGAATTCACTTTGAACAAATATATCATTAGCAGTAATCAACATGGTTTTAAGAAAGACAGGTAATGCCAAACCAACTTAATTGCATTCTATGAAGTTAGTAGAAATATAATTCAGGGTGTTCCAGTAGATTTGATTCAAATCTTCAAAAGTCCTGGGTCCACTTCTCTTTAATTTATATAAAATGATACTGAAGTGGACATTGAAAGTAAATTGTCAGTGTTTGCAGATTACACAAAACTAGGTAAGAAAATACAGTCTGAACACGATATAGCTTCTCTACAGAGTATTTTGGATGAATTGGGGAACTGGGCAGGCAAGTGGAAGATGAAATTCAATACAGATAAAGGCAAAGTCAGGCATTTTGAAATAAGAACACACACACGTCAAACTTTAAATGGGGTAGAGTTAAGGAGAACATTAAATGAAAAGGACTTGGGAATAATTCTAGATTACAAACTAGGCAACAGTATGCAATACTGGTCTGCAGCTGCAAAAGTTAGTATGAAGCTTTAGTGTATAAAAAGGGGTATTGATTCACTTGAATACGATATAATTTTGCCTCTTTACAAATTAATGATAAGACCTCACCTTGAATATACGGTGCAAGTTTTGGGCACCAGTTTTAAAGAAGGATATTTCAGAACACAAAAAAATGCATTTAAAAAAAAAAAAAAAAATCCAAGGAGCTTTTTTGCACAAAAAGAATATTCAAGAATATAATGATATGTATGTAAACAGGTTGTTGATCCAAGGAGATATTGGATTCCATTATGGAGTCAAGAAGGATTATTTTCCCCTTTTTGTAGCATAATTGGAAATGGCTACTACTGGATTGTTTGCCCCCTTTTTGACCTACAGCATAAAAGAACTGGCTTTGCAGTTGGTCTTGGTGGGCTTTAGTCTTTTCTCAATATAGACAATTATGTAACTTGCAGTCACTTTAAAACAGAATTGTAGAACTCTATTAATGTTTTCAAGTCACTACAAATGAGAGTCCCAGAAATATATTCTTCAAACTTCCTATTTTAAAATGGAGTTTTAAATCTGCTTACCAGCACACAATAGACAATGTTCAAAGTACAGGACATAATTGAAGATTAGGTCATTATGTTTGCCAAAACCAGAATTATTTTGGATAAAATATACACTTGACCAAATCTGGATTGAAGACAGTCCAGTTGTTAATACTTTTATATATTGATATTTTAGGCACATAATTTGTCATAATAAAGCCAAAATTATCTTCTTCTGGTTCCATTTGTACTAATAATTAATACCCCATTCTTGGACAGCATAAGGCAATTGTTTAACCCTTCCTGGGCTGGAGTTAGACAAATTTAATGTTATGGCCATTATCAGTCATTTAATGTTTACAATGGCTACGCAGATTCAAACTAAAATTTGAATGGGGTTCAGGCGGTTACCTTCACCACATCTTGCTTGCTGCTGTCACTGAAATGGGCAGTGCCTACAATGTACACCTTGCTGCCCTCCTCCGTGGTAAGCTGGGTGACCGTTTCAGGAAGGGAGGGCTGTCTCTGCCTTTTCTTCATTTTCATTTCCCACAAGATTCGAAAGGCATCTGCATCAGCTGCAAAGGAAGTGGGGATAAAACTTTAAAAGGAACACAACCATTTATTCCTGATCCTATAGTGTTAAATCCACCATTTAGGTGGCATGACCTACATCAGCCCCCTTAAAAGGAATTAAAATTCAGTTTATTTCCAGTGCTGTGCAGGTCCGCCAGTGCTGGCCCCACCCGCGATCCGCCTCCTTTATGACAGAATGCCGATTTGAGCCAATCCAATGGGATTCTATGGGAAAGCATCGGAATGGCTAAAATCGGCGAGGAGGGATAGGGCAGGGCCAAACGCCATTTTGGTCAATCAGCACTTCTTCATAGAAATGCATTTAATCAATGAATCTCTCTGAGGAAAATTCAGCGTCCCCATTCAGAGTGTGGAGACGCTGAATGGCAGTGCTACCTACTGTTCAGCACTGCCCTAGGAAGCATCTCCAGTGGCCCTCTGAGGAGTGGCCACTAGGAGGCATCCCTAGGGGGCAATGTAAACACTGCCTTTTCTCTGAAAAAGCAGTGTTTGAATGTAAATGCCTCAAGGCAATGATTATACTCACCAGAAAAAAAAATAACTACATTAAACTGTAGTTGTTTTGGTGACAATAGTGTACCTTTAATGTCCTATTTGGTTACAACATGGGAGGGTAAGGCGCAGTACAGCTCATTGCCCTCTGCAAGTGTGCGTGATAATCAGCGCATGGGTTCTATTAATAAATATTAATCTACCAAACATATACGGACTCTTTCATCTACTGAAGTGAGAATGCAAAGTGAATTTCAAATGAAAGGTCAAAACAGCCAAACTAGAGAGAGATGAAAACAAAACAACCTGTACGTGCGTTCATTTTGGCTACTCTGGTCTTAAATTTGAAATTCACTTTAACTTAATATTTATTGCCTGCCAGGGAAAATATTGAGCAAGTATCCCAATGCAGCCTTCACTACATCAGTTGTAAATTACACGACTCTGCTAAATGTGGTTGAAAATAAACAAAAGATTTTTTGTGTGTGTGCATTAATGTATCAGTCTTTATCAGTAATGTTACTTTTGATTTGTAACTACAGATGGAATAGCATAAAGCAGAAGTAAAATGATAAAGCTTATCTAGCAGTCAGCATTTTGTAGGTATGTATTTGGGTTGCTTTTAAGGTTTGCACAGAACAGGTGACAGATAACTTACAGATGCCGTGGGGTACGTCTGAGGAATCAGGTGGCCCATTCTCTGGAGGTTCGGTTGCCGACATTTGTCACCAACCTGCAAACATAAAAATGTAATCATTTAAAATAAACTAAATGAAGAAATTTATACACATCCTAATCTTGGACCCACGTTATTCATATTTGAAGAAACATTAAGCTAAACAAAAACAAGAAAATAAAAAAAAATTAAAAAAGATATATATAAATATATAGGGACATATATAAACTTTAACATTAAAAGTGACACCTCAATAAAGTGGTCTGGGTGCAGTGCCCCTGTTTTTATTCTTGCAATCTAAAACATTATCATTTGGAAGATACAGCAATGTTTCCATTGCAGGACTAAACACACTTCTAGTGGCGGTCTACCCAACAGCTTCAAGAGGCGCTTCCGCACTCATAATAGAGTCAGACTCTTCAAGGTCCTGGCGCTGATCTTTGGGAAGAACTGTATTGAATGCTTCCCTATGAGAAGCATTTGACTGGACAAGCATTGCACTTGCCAGACATGCTTCTCGTCCAATGTTGCTTTATGAGACACATTGGAAAAAGTAAGTCAAATTCCCCCCCTCCCCCCTCCATTTACTTTTGGGGGGGAACCCCAGAATCTAAATAGGGGTAGAACACTATAGCATTAGAAATACATGTTTATACTCCCAAAGCTATAGTGTTCCTTTAATATCCTATATATCATGTTGAGTAATAATTTCACAGTTTGTTTTATGTACACTGCATGTCCCAGTGACAGCAAGATACCATGGGCATTTAGGTTCCACCCCATGCTACCATTCCTTGTGATGACTGCATTAACAGAGTAGTTCAATTAGCATTAAAATCATTTTTCCATTTAATTTTTGCCCATATGGATGTTTAGATTGATGATTAATACTATTGATTAGAATGCATTAAGAGGAATCCATGTATTTTTATCTTGAATCTCAGACACAGAAAGAAAAAAAAACTATTTAGAAACCTACTATGTGCATAATTACAACTTTTAAACTGGAGATATATATATAAACACTTAGGAAGACTATAAACCAGAAGGAATAGTAGTATGTCCCAGAAGAATCTTTATTACAATTGGAATCTTGCCCAGATTTAATTCTGATGAATTCCTGTGTCCCTGGCTTGTCGTTTGCTGGGAAATTCTAGTAAATCTTATAATGGTTCAATGTGTGGATTTAGGTCAGTCTTCAGCCCACTGACTGTGATAAATCTAACGCTGAGAATTCTAGACTCTTCATCCAACAGTACAAAAATAAAACTTTATCATTTGTTTTTGTTATGACCAATGTGTATAAAAAATAAAAATAAAAAAAATGTTAAGACTATATTTAGGAAATATCCTTAAAATTGCGCAAGAATTATTATTTTTTTTTATTTATTTATTTTTTTAAATAAAGCACTTTAGAAGGGGAGTATATATTTTTTTTTTTTAAAGAATACATAATTTAAAAAATAAACTGAGATTCATATAAATTTGTCCAACAAGTGTCTATGGTATCAACATGGATTCGGACAAAGCTATATTATCACAGACATTCCAGATACTTAAAGGAACTCTGTAGTGTTAGGAACACAAAGCTGTATTCCTAACACTAGTGTTTCTCTGCCCCCACCTCCTCGCAGCCACCACCCCTCCCTCTTGATAAAGGCATCTTTTGCCAAAATGTTGGGGGCTTGCTTATTGATTTTTCTTCCCTCCTCTCACTGATTCTGGTATGCATTTGTCTGTCATTTATTAGTTATTTTTGTGTTTAGATGGGCTGTTAGGATATGATATCTCCTTTTATTACTTATTAAATTGATATTTAGGTGGTTAATTACTACTTGTTTTGCTTTGATGCTTCTACAGTACTTTTGATAACTTTTTGTACATTATTAGCATGCGACTCGTGTTTGAATCTTTCATGATATGTATTGTGAGATATCCATTTTCTTTGTACCTATCTTATAATAACATTTCTTATTAATGGTTGTGCTCCCTGATTGGATACTATTCAAGGATGGAGTGTCAGATATTCCAAGGGAATTCTGGCGAATGTGAGGTGAACGGTTAGCAAACTGCTATCCTTCCAGCTCATTGGAATGGTTTCTTATGCATTTTATCAACGTCTTAGATTGCAATCAAAAGGATTCTCCAAATTCACAGAGTGCACCGTACCACAGATAAGTTGACCCCTGCTGTGCAATGCTCAATTTCTGTTTTGCATTTTTGTAAGTCTTGCCAAGTTTGTATTTTTATATTGTATTAAAGGATCACTATAGGGTCAGGTTCACTATAGGGTCAGGTTCACTATAGGGTCAGGTTCACAAACATGTATTCCTGACCCTATTAAAACCACCATCTAGCCCCCCAGGACCTCTCATGCCTCCATAAATATAGCAACATCGTACTGTATTCAAGCCTGAAGCTGCGTGCTGTTTGCCTAAAAAAAAAAGTAAAAAAAAAAAAAGCAGTCTGCTGACATCACCAGAAGTGGTAGCCTGATCCAATCACAGTGCTTACCCATAGGATTGGCTGAGACTGACAAAGAGGCAGAGCCAGCACAATTCAAACATAACCCTGGCCAATCAGCATCGCCTCAGAGATGAATTGAATCAATGAATCTCTATGAGGAAAGTTCAGTGTCTGCATGCAGAGGGAGGAGACACTGAATGTTTGGATGCATTTTAGGAAGCCATGACCCAGGAAGGATCTCTAACAGCCATCTGAGGAGTGGCCAGTGGAGGTATCCAAAGGCTGTAATGTAAACACTGCATTTTCTCTAAAAAGACAGTGTTTACAGCCAAAAGCCTGACGGTAATGATTCTACTCAGCAGAATAAATTCAATAAGCTGTAGTTGTTCTGGTGACTATAGTGTCCCTTTAAATACTACACTACAAGTCCATTTTTTCCCCCATTGTGTTTTTCTCTCGTATGATTTCCCTTCTACATTTACCATCCGAGAGGGTTTTAAACTGAATTTACAAACCTTTTTAAGGTAACATTTTATCACACTATCTGTAGTTTGCTAGGTGTTCACACTGCACACTTTATTTGCACCCAAGACATCTTCTTTGTATTTTGATATGTTTTACCTGGAACTGTAAGAGTTAGTTCTGTCTTTAGGCAGCATTCCTTGACTATTTATATTTCCTGGCGATGGTTTTTGGAATACAGTCTTTTGTAAGGAACCATGTCCAACTGTGGGTTAGTTTACGGTGTTGCCTCATTGTTTTGTGTTATAATATTTTAACATTGTAAATCACCACAAGGAGAAGTTGATACTCAGTATATTCTGTATCAAAGCCTATTTCCACACCGTAGGGTATTTGTATGCCTAATGCAGGGGGCAGTCTATTTACAGCTACCTGGGTGCTGGGGTGTGCTTACCTTTATGCTTTAAAGGTAAAGTACGATTCACTGTGGAGTTTACAGGTTGGAGAGACACACTATTTTGCAAAATCACAAACACCAATGCCAGAGGAGACAATGTATAGAATCCCAAGCTCAGCAGCTGCATTGCACCCTTCCCCTTACAGTGAACAGATGGAAACAATGAATCACCCATGACGCTGTGATCATACAGAGTACATAGCACAAGACCTGTATTCATAGAAAGAACAGGAACAACCAATCATGTGATGGCCTTTACAAATGCACAATAAGGAACATAGAGAATGGAGGCCAAGGCTGACCAATTCCAGCTGTTGTGAAACTATAACTCTCATGATCCTCTGCTTACCATTCTGGCCATCCCAGATATAAAGCGCCTTGTGCAGAGCTGACACAGACCATAAAAAGCATACGATACGACAAACGCACAATGCAGAGAGATAAGAATTATTACACTGTAACTAGAATATTTGTTAACAAGAGATTGGTCAGTGATTCACAGATTACCGGAGTCGTGGATGCCACGGATAAGTAGGTTGCTCTAGGACAGGCAACCTTCGGCACTACACATGTTGTAGACTACATCCTCCATAATGCTCTAACACCCATAATGCTGGCAAAGCATCATGGGAGATGTAGTCCAAAACATCTGCAGTGCTGAAGGTTGCCTATGCCTGCTATAGGAAATATAATCATTATATGACCCACAGGAAAGGGAAGCAATGGGTGTACCCAACAACCACCGATGTGGAACAGTTATTTCTATTCCACTGCTTGGCATACGGCACTGCAGACATTTATAAATGGTCAGGCACATCTAGTGGTCTATTTAATACATTTCTTGTAATCTAAACAATTGTTATAGTGTTTGGAGTGTTCCTTTAAGATAAATGGAATACATCTAACATGACTTAAAAGGAGCACTATAGTGCCAGGAAACCAAACTTGTTTTCCCTGGCATTATATGGTTATTAGCCCCACTCTCAGCCCGCTGGGCTGAAGGGGTTAAAACAGACCTCCAGCGCCGGGGAACTCTCCTCCCCCAGCCGACGTCAGCTCAGAATGTGCATGCGCGGCAAGAGCCGCACGCACATTCAAACCGCCCATAGGAAAGCATTACTCCATGCTTTCTTTTGGACGTCCAGCGTCGTCTCACTCTGATTTTCAAAGTGAGAATCGCGGAAGGGCTTCTAGTGGCTATGTTTCCAGCTGCAGGGTTAAAACTAGAGGGACCTGACACCCAGACCACTTCATTGAGCTGAAGTGTGGTCTGGGTGCCTATAGTGGTCCTTTAAGGAAATCATGATTTGTTTTTATTTGTGTTAAACATAAAGAAAATAAATAATAAAAAACACACACACACACATAAAAAAATATACTAAAATATTATCTATGTTATTCCATCTCATGTCCCTCACCACCTTTTCGCTCAGCTCAATGGAACCCATTAGTAACTCACTGGTGTGATGCTAGCTACTTCCGGTTACTTCCTCACCAAAACCACCATATATTATTCTCACCACCACATTTCAGGTAACCCGTACTGGGTGTCACAATCCTTAAAAATTTAAATTCTAAAAATCGCTATAAAAACTAAAAAATACAAGTCTTTGGTTTCCCCTGCCCATGATAGAGCGGGGTACTGATCTAACACACAGACTGACTGAAACCACTACATCTCCTCACAGGAATGTACAGAAACCTTAGTTTTGCTCTAGCGCGGTGCTTACAAAATCTTCAGATACAGGTATCAATACTAAATATATTGCCCCTCCACAGCCCTCACAATTAACCGGACACCACAGACTGGCAAATGATTGTAGACAACCACTCAAAGCAAAGAAAATATATACATGCCACAAATAATTATACACAAATATACAGAGACTGATTTGGTATGGACACCTTTCGATCACAGAGAAAAATAAATAAGTAAAACTTGCCTCCCTAACAAGCCCAAAAACAACATTTTCTTATTATCTGGAAGCTTAGTTTAATGCAATTTCCACCAAACATTTTATTTCATGAGCTCATAGTGGACGTACATATTATGCCTAAAAAGGTACACATGTGGGAGTTTGTGTTTAAATGCCTACTATAGTCATATAATCACACAGCAGCACAGATAACCAATAAAATCTTAATTTTTAATGGAATTTAGAATGTAATCTGATATTCTGTGTACGAAGGATGAGAGGTAAAATTTGTCTACCATTTAAAGGTCTATTTTAGAAATCTGTTACCATGGCACCGCAACAGAAAATGTTTGGCATTTATTCTGACTGTGATATAGTGTTTAGCATAACTATCAGGCATATACAACAGATCACACCCAAATGACATGGTTTTCACCAAAATGTCATAGAAAATATCATTGTAAAACCCAGAACTGGTGTAAAGCCTTACTTAATAGTTTTGTTTTTGCCAATCTTCAGTTTGGATTAGGAGAGGAATGTGGTTCTGAGCTGTTGACTGTGCCCAGATTTCCTTTATTAATATTGTGACAAATCACAGACAGTCTCTTTTACGAAGATAAACACGTTTCACACAGATTCTTCAAACATAACATACACTCCTTCTACCCAAGTGGAAGCAGGGCCCATGTGTGCACTTTGTTGCTTAGAACTGCAGATATTTTCAAAACTGGTGCAGCTACAAGTAGCCCATTCCCCAGGGTCAAATATGTAACAGGGTTATCCTTTTCTCCTCCAACCAAAGATGTAGAGTTTGCCCAAAGGACAGGTGCACTCCATACAAGATCCCTGCGTGATCGAAATACATCCATTCATGAAAAATAAATCTGATGCAGCCAATTGTGGGGATGAAAGAAGCTGTGCCATGGTTTCTATAAACAAGAGCAGAAGTTCCATTCATGTTATTTCATGAATGAGACTGAACTAGCTGCAAAATGCTGAACTAGTTGTCCCTGAAACACCTGCTGCTCAGTTCAATGGAATCTTTGAGCAATGGGGGCTATGACTAGCCATTTCTCACTCTGGGGAGAGTTTACTGCAGACACTACTTAAAAGTTACTTGCCACTGCAAGTGTGGCGGGTCCATGACATACTCCCTTACCACGGCTGAATTTTTACTCACTCATGGCTAGTGGAAATTTGGAGCCTTGAAAGTGAAAGTGAAACAGAAAGAAAACCTGCTCAGCTTTCTGCTCTAAAAAACTGGAAGGAAAATTGCCCCCCTGCTTGCTGGAAAATTGCTGATGTAATTTCAAAACTGACACCTTGATATCAAATGTCACAAAACACTGAGTAATACAGAAAGCAGAAATCACGGTATTTTATCTACCTGCACGATGTATTGAGACCTGAGTGGGGAGCTATCAAGTCAGTCTGGTCTGTGGGACCCTGTGAATGCAGAGTGAATTAAAGGACCACTGTAGTGCCAGGAAAACAAGGTCCCCCCCACCCGCTGGGCTTAAGGGGGTTAACTTAAAACCCCTTCAACCACTTACCTTTCTCCAGTGCTGGGGAACTCTCATCCCCCTGCTGACGTCAGATCCGAATGCACAGCAAGAGCCACGCGCGCATTCAAACCGCCCATAGGAAAGCATTACTCAATGGATTCCTATGGACGTTCAGCATCTTATTGTGGTTTTCACAGTGAGAATCGCGGAAGCGCCTCTAGCGGCTGGATTAACCCTCAGTGAAACATAGCAGTTCCTCAGTTTTCAGCTGCAGGGTTAAAACTAGAGATCCTGGCACCCAGACCACTTCATTGAGCTGAAGTGATCTGGGTGCCTATAGTGGTCCTTTAAGTGTGAAATTGGTTAAAGCAGCAGTAGCTGGAAGGTAGACACAGAATGGTTGTAAAACTACAAATCCCATGATGCTCTGCCATAGTCTAGGGATCTAATTTTTGGCTATCCTGATTCTTTGTTTTGCCTAAACAAACACAGGAGGTACAGTCACAATTTTCTTTTACAGCACAAAGCAACATGACTAACCACATCACACCAAAATTGTATTATCCAGTGAGCTGTACGCATTAGAGCCCATGTTTAAAGGATTACTCCAACCACCATGTCCACTTAAGTCAGGTCTCGACAAATTTGTTTGGAATCTAGGATCCAGTTTTTGTTTTTTTCAAAACTAGCAAAATTTAAATTTACAACGAGAAATGCCATTCTTAACCCCTTAAGGACCAAACTTCTGGAATAAAAGGGAATCATGACATGTCACACATGTCATGTGTCCTTAAGGGGTTAAAGGGACACGATAGTCCCTACATGGAGCCGCTGAATGTTACCCATAGAGAACATGTTTAATATTCTCCCAATGCTTTCTCAGCTATAGAGGCGAGACAAGCCGTGGGAAAAAAGGTGAGTAAAAACACCTTTCATGTGATCGGAAGGGGGCAGGTACCTAAACAGATACACACAAACACACACTGACAGAGGCTTACACACACACACACACAAATTTAAATTTATTTGAATCCACCCAGCCTCCCTACCTTTGGCATAGCTGACTGAATATTTTCGTGGGGTCCAGTGGGGGTGCTCGCTCTTCCTGCGTGCGAGGGAGCAGTAATCAACCCGCAGCTCCTCTCTGCTCTTTGTAGTGATGCCAGGGCCGGAAAGACGTCATATGCCGGCTCCAGGCATCACTACACAGCGCGAGGGAGCAGAGAGGAGCTGCAGGAAGAACAATGCTCGCGCACTGCCTCAGCCGACCACCCTGATGCCCCCCAAAGCGTCCGGCATCTCCATAGTTTGTTCAGCCGGCCGTTTTAGCCAAAATGCTAAATCCCGTGCGCTTTGGGTGAAATTTCTAGTCGCCATGGGGACCTGGCGCCTTGGATTTGTCGAGCCCTGAGTTAAGTGATTTGAAGTGATCATGGTGGTAGGAGTCTGTATGTGCAGTGTTTATGCTTGTATATCCAGATTGAGATTGATGTGCTGGACTGTTAAAGAGTCTGGGGCTGGTGGGGAGCTGATTGGTGGGACATATGCTACACACAATATCGGAGCAGAACGCACAATATGACGGGCATAGGCTGAATCGCTAACGCTCCTCTACCATAGTGCCTACCTGTCTATTAACCTTTAGATATATAACGGGCAGGTGTTGGAAGTTATTAGGTCTTAATTTCGGTTGCATTGTTTTAGAAACTGTCACTCCCAATTCTGCTACATGCTCTGGCCTTACGTCCAAAATTTTCAGGATGTTTGTTCAGGTCTGAAAATCTAGAAACCCTAAGCAAGCTACATACCCAGTGGTTCATTTGTTAAGCTTAATATCAGTTAATTGAGAAATGCTTTCCTATAGACACTTTGAATGCGCGTGCGGCACTTGCCGCGCATGCGACTCCGGTGACGGCAGGGGAGGAGAGGTCACCAGCGCCGAGGGAGCCCGGCGCTGGATTAAGGTAAGCTGCTGAAGGGGTTTTATCCCCTTCAGCGCCACGGGAGGGGGACCCCTCAGGGCACTATAGTGTCAGGAAAACCGCTTTGTTTTCCTGACACTATAGTGATCCTTTAAATAAATCTGACTTATAAATAAAGGATTGCTACTATAAATCATTTTATTCACTGACCTTTAGGACCACAAAAATATTAAAATTAATTAATAGTCTCCAATAGAGCTTCAACTTAATGAAGACATAATCATTACAAGATAGTTTTTTGTATCAATATGCACTGCTTTTTTTTGTTTTTGTAACAAGAAACTGAATTAGCACAAAACATTGTTTAAAAGGATGAATATCCCCAGACACATGGCACCACGTGGATTAAAAAATGATGGTCTGGTCCTGCATTCTTCTGACATATCAAAAGCTCATAACACCACTGCTTTATGATGCAAAGAGTACATTTATCTAGTTTGATCACATTTTAACAGTCAGAAGAACAAACAAGGCTTGTCTCAGCAAAAATGAATCTACACTGAGCACAGAAAGGGTATTATAATGGCAGTCTGTAATTTCCTGTTTAGCATGTATGATGCTATGAGACAGCTGTACAGTGTAGCTGCGCTAGGATTTAGGTAAATCATGTGCTATTTGGGGTACAGAGTGCTAAATGTTATTATATGGTAGTAGTGTTTATTACGTATTTACACACTTGTTTATGCCTTGATAAATCTCAACTTACATGTACGAGCTCAAAAGGTTCTCCTGCACTTCACCGTGCTGTCGGTATAGAGCTGTCTGACAAAAATTGACTGACAGGTAGGGGAGAGTACAATTTTAGATTTTTTTTTACATTTATTTATTTTATACATTTGCTAGCAGCCTCGCTAGTGATAATGTTGAGCCTTGCCTTATATACTAAACCTCATTTTCTTTAAATTGACAAGTTGAGCTACAAATCCACTTTAAAGTCTAAGGGAAAGTAACATAACTTAGTTGAATGGCCATAAGTTGCACGGGTAAAAAAAAAAAAAAAAAAAAAAAAAGTAGCCACAGGTAAAATGCGCAAAGGTTAGCAGCTCTCAGCAACAGTTTCTTGTAGGAAAAGTGACTCGCTGTTGCAAACAGGAGGACGTGGTGGGTGTTAAACCGCGCTAACAGATAATGAGCTTTCTGCAGGAAAGGTTAAATATATTCTGCTTCAAATCAGGCTGGAACAATTCATAGTGATCCTTGAACATAAACTTCACTGCCATTTGCTCGTATCAAGACATCAGCCTACCAGCTTGAAGCCATGCCAATATAGAGGCATGAAACTAGAATGGGAGGGTTTGTGCCAGCGACGCAATGCCCACTTTTTCCTGTATCACTTTATGCAATAAATGTGCAGAATATATTGCCAATTTAAGGAAATGAACTACAACTCCCATGATGCTCAGCTAGCCCAGAGGATGTCAGGCTTGGCCATTGAAAGTGACAGAGTCACTTCAATAGACAAACACATGATTTCTAAATGCAGATACTCTATTCACTTTACAATTCCACTCATTATCCAAATGATATGCATCTCTCTATCACTCTCAGAGCAAACTTCCCCTTTTACTTATATCTGCATCGACCTCACACATACACACGCACATAGAGAGAAAGACTAATATTCAGTGACACGAAGAGTCGTTATCTATACTAGAAATGGCTCCAGTCAGTATTCGAGATATACTTGTGGATGCACCCTTATGAGACTGCCTGGAATACCTGTGTGTTGCTGCAATGCAGGTTTGTGATTAAACAAAAAAAAAAAAAAAACATTTAAACATTCAAAATTAAGCTTTGCAAAAATACACAAAACTATATAGATGGGGAAGGTTATGTAAAAGCAAAGCAAGTAATAAGAAGGAACACTATAGCAAACCTGTAGAAGATTCTGGATAGTGAAACCAACTACAGATAAAGTGTCCCCAGCCTTTCCTTTCGAGGGCAGCTAACACATACCCAAAGTTGCCTAAGAAAATAAAGGTTAGCTGATCACTAGCAGCCACATAGCCCCAACGCACATTTCGCCTGCCAAGCAGCTCTTAGAACGTGCTTTGGGGCTACGTTGCTGCCCCGTGAATTGCTGTTACGGACAATTTGATGATTTAGACTTTCAGTGACTGTTAGATTACAGCCATGTATGTGCAGCTGCTATCTATTTTGCCTTTACATTTCATTAGCCAAGACTCCTCTAAGTCTGCTTCTGTCTACTTAATATTAGCCTTAGCTGCCTAAGAAAATAAGGGTTATGTGATAGTTGCCCTCAATGAAAAGACTAGAGACCCTTTTAGCTCTAGTTAGTTCCATTATCTAGAAAATGCTAGGTGTCCTCGAAGGCACAATTAGGGATCTGCTAGTGCCTAACCTGGATTTGATTTTTCTTTGCGGTAGAGCCATTAGGGAGTTAGAACCCTCTGCTTTATTAAAAGAACAGCAGCTATCTTATAGACCTAACCCAACACTACTAGAGAAGCAATCCAATGCCAATTCTATAATTAATTAGATACATCATTCCACGACTTCTGTTTTGATTTGGCTAGATTGAGAATGATGGCTCTGTTTGTGTGTGTTGTATTTACTATATGTAGTATATCAGTGATTTATTTCAATTGTTCATTACATTTAATGTACCAGCGATTCATTTTAAATAGACAGCAATAATAGTTACATTTTAATCCATCATCTCCTCCTATGACTATTTGCCTTTCTGGATTACTCTAATGTTAGTTTGGTTAATGCCCCCCCTTGCCCTTTATTTGTTCCCTGGTTATACTTAAAGGAACACAAACATACATTCCTGACACTATAGTGGTATAGGTCCCTGGCTCCCTCTTCCGGCAGTAAAAAGGTGAGTTTATGTACCTTTTTTCCAGCGCCACTCTGGTTTTGCACTGGCCGACTCCAATTCTGGAGCTGGGATCAAACTTTATGATCTCTGTCAATCCAATGTTTGCCCATAGGAAAGCATTGTGAGGCTACTGCGCAAGCACAGCAAGACACTGCACTGTGTAAATCAGCATCTTCTCATAGAGGTGCATTAAATAAATGCATTTCTATGAGGAATGTTTAGCATCTCCATGAAATGCCTGTTGGAGCAAAGGAGGGCATGGAGCTTGTAGGCCTGCCATTATACATACTATGCTTATTGCTACAAGAAAAAAATACTAGCAGGAGAACACCTATTGGAGGGGGAGAGGCTGTAGCTGTAGGGGATTGTAACACAGAGAGAGAACAACAGTGTTTGTAAGAGTTTGATTGTATTCCTGTGAATTGAATGAATGAGCTCTTAAGAATTTGTTGGGTAGAGACCAGCACCGTCTCAGTGACTGCCACTAGAGGGGTTCCTAGGAAGTAATGCAAACACTGCCTTTTCTCTGAAAGGGCAATGTTTTACATAGTTTGAAAAACAGGCAGCAGATATACACCAAACCACTTAAGTAGTAGTAGTTTTGGTGCTTAGACTGTCCACTTAATGTGCTGCTGAACCGTCTTTGGTAAATACCACATTTGGAGATTTACACAGAATGTTCTTGTTAAGAGAGACATTCTGAACGAAGTATTGCTGACCGATAAATCTTTGAAAATGAACCAGCCTCTTTGGAAAGGATGTAACAGTAACTTGTTTTGTTTATATTAAAATCACACAAGTAAATTAATCCATCCAAATGTATACACAACCTAATTGTACATCACCCCCAAAGTTGTACTCCAACTGATACCTATAAACACTTTAAATTACACGTGTATGAAATGGCAGCATAGCTATAAGAAATTATAGGCAGCCAATCTTTGATTAATTAATTCAGTGTGAATTTCACGAATGAAATCAAAGCGAGTTTAGAATGTCACAAATTAAAAGTGAAATTAAAATTTCAAACCAAAATTGCCAAACTGAACCTGGAAAAGCTTGCCCCCATTTTCTCTAGTCTGGGCTAAATTGTGAACAATCCCAAGAATACATTTTTCAGTGAGTATCTTTGAACACGTTACCACAAGCAAAATGTCCATGAATGATATAGAGCTAGATCTGTCACATGCGTGTAGAGTTATTTACATAAACATCAAAAGGACCCAATAACTGCTCCGTACAGAGCTCAAAATTTCAACTCCTGAACTGCTAGCCGGGACTAAACGTTTCTCACCAGTTACTGCCGAGCCTGGTGGGTCACTACATACTCAATTTACACTCACCAAGGGCTAGTGGGCAATTTGAGTATTATATACACATTTACAGCAATACAGGAACCACACGTTCCAGGAAACCCAGCCAATATTAGTCTAAATGGCCGGTTACAGGTGTAGAAAATCATACTGGAACATATTCTGACACAATGCTTTCAAAAGCTGTTGGGGTAGAAGTGCCCTTCCCTCCATCTTTTTTTAAAGCAGAAATCACAGTGGGCATCAACTAGTAAATGAGTACAAATAAAACAACAATACAGGTAACCACAAGCATGGCAACGCAGACACACACATATCATAGGCAGACAAAAGTTAGACTCCAAGCTAGTGTAATGCTTCAACTCCGCTATATATAACTTTAAACAAAAATAAACAAAACAAGGAAGGACACCACTAGCATGGCAAAGGCACATACTTGATAGAAAGGCCTACAGGTAGACTCTCCATATTTTAAAGAACTACAGCTCCCATGAAGCTCTGCCAGCTTTCAGACTAGGAATGCTGTGTCAGGCAGGGACTGTGAGGGCTGGTAGTACCAGGAATGGTGTAAAACAGTCAAGGCTGAGCCTTTTAGCAGCTGTCAGATTGGGGGCTCTATACCAGCTGCTAGGGGCCACATAACTAGTCTGTCCTGGGGCCCTATGACCAGCCTATAACCAGCCTGCCAGGGGCCCCTATATCCAGCTTATAAGGGGCCCCTATATCCAGCTGCCACTGGGCCTCTATAACCAGCCTGCCAGGGGGCCCCTATATCCAGCCTGCCAGGGGGCCCCTATAACCAGCCTGCCAGGGGGCCCCTATAACCAGCCTGCCAGGGGGCCCTATAACCAGCTGCCAGGGGGCCCTATAACCAGCTGCCAGGGGGCCCTATAACCAGCTGCCACAGGGCCATATATCCAGCTCGCAGGGAGCCCTATAACCAGCCTGCCAGGGGCACCTATAACCAGCCTGCCAGGGGCACCTATAACCAGCCTGCCAGGGGCACCTATAACCAGTTTATGAGGGGGCCCTATAACCAGCTTATAAGGGGCCCTATAACCAGCCTGCCAGGGGGCCCTATAACCAGCTTATAAGGGGCCCCTATATCCAGCTGCCAGGGGGCCATATATCCAGCTCGCAGGGGCCCCTATAACCAGCCTGCCAGGGGCACCTATAACCAGCTTATAAGGGGCCCTATAACCAGCTTATAAGGGGCCCTATAAACAGCCTGCCAGGGGGCCCTATAACCAGCTTATAAGGGGCCCTATAACCAGCTTATAAGGGGCCCCTATATCGAGCTCGCAGGGGCCCCTATAACCAGCCTGCCAGGGGGCCCTATAACCAGCCTGCCAGGGGGCCCTATAACCAGCCTGCCAGGGGGCCCTATAACCAGCTTATAAGGGGCCCTATAACCAGCTTATAAGGGGCCCCTATATCCAGCTGCCAGGGGGCCATATATCGAGCTCGCAGGGGCCCCTATAACCAGCCTGCCAGGGGGCCCTATAACCAGCCTGCCAGGGGGCCCTATAGCCAGCCTGCCAGGGGCCTATATCCAGGCTCCCAGGGGCCCCTCTATCCAGCCTGCCAGGGGCCCTATATCCAGCTCTCAGGGGCCCTATATCCAGCCTGTCAGGGGGCCCTATATCCAGCCTGTCAGGGGGCCCTATATCCAGCTCTCAGGGGGCCCTATAACCAGCTCTCAGGGCCCCCATATCCAGGCTCCCAGGGGCCCATGAGATCCACTAGGAGCCTGCTGGGACACGTGCAGTGTAATGGCTGTCATGGCACTCACTGGATCCAGTGACCGGGCTGTAGGTGCAGGTTGGGCTCTCAGGCTCTCCGTGCCCGGAAACTGCGCTCAGCTGGAACTAGAGCACATTGACGGTCCAACATGCTGCACTAGTCATCTCTCAGGAGGCGAACTACTACAGGCGGCCGCTAGCATCCACGGGAGTCGTAGTCCTCGCCCCTGCACTAGCGGGGCTCTTTGGTAAGCAGCATAAATAATGTGGAACTACAACTCCCGGCATGCCCCGGGCTTCACGCTCAGCTGAGGAACTACTCTCCAGTCGGCGACGGTCTGTCAGCAGAACTTGGAGCCAATCAGAGCGCGAGTTGTAGAAGGGGCGTGGTTTAGAGCCACGTCACGGCTGCTTACGTCACTGAGTAGTGATGGCTGCATTGCCTACCTGGCTGGGGTTCATTCCCTGGTCTGGTGCATAGCTCCCAAGTGTCCTGGATTCAGTGGGACAGTCCTAATTAGGAGCACCAGGAAAATGCTCATAGAAAATGCAGTGCATTGTGCCTATCAGCATAGCTCCCAACTGTCCTGTATTCAGTGAGACAGTCCTAATTAGGAGCACCAGGAAAATGCTCATAGAAAATGCAGTGCATTGTGCCTATCAGCATAGCTCCCAAGTGTCCTGGATTAAGTGGGACAGTCCTAATTAGGAGCACCAGGAAAATGCACATAGAAAATGCAGTGCATTGTGCCTATCAGCATAGCTACCAACTGTCCTGGATTCAGTGAGACAGTCCTAATTAGGAGCACCACCAAAATGTCCCCAGAAAATGCAGTGCATTGTGCCTATCAGCATAGCTCCCAAGTGTCCTGGATTCAGTGGGACAGTCCTAATTAGGAGCACCAGCAAAATGTCCCCAGAAAATGCAGTGCATTGTGCCTATCAGCATAGCTCCCAAGTGTCCTGTATTCAGTGGGACAGTCCTAATTAGGAGCACCAGGAAAATGCCCCCAGAAAATGCAGTGCATTGTGCCTATCAGCATAGCTCCCAAGTGTCCCTATTTAGGAGGAGCAGTCCCTATTTTGGGCCCAAATCCCTCTGTCGCTCTTTTCTAGGAGCTCCATATCGTTATATGTGTCTGAGTGTTCACTGATTAGCCACCACATTAAATCCTCCTGCCTAATATTGTGTAGCTCCCCCTCGTGCTGCCAAAACAGCTCTGAGGCATGGACCCACACGGTATATGGCACCAAGACATTAGCAGCAGATCCTTTAAGTCCTATAAGTTGCGAGGTGGGGCCTCTATGGTACGAATTTGTTGTTCCAGCACATCCGGGAGATGCTCAAGGCAACACCTTGAACTCTTTTTCATGTTCCCCATGTTATGTTTACCATTCCTGATCAATTGTTTCAGGTTGCATTAACCTGCTGTAAGAGGCCACTGTCGCTAGGAAACATTGCCACGAATGGCTGTATGTGGTGCGCAACAACCTTTAGGTAGGTGGTATTTTTCAAAGTACGTGTCAAATCCGTGTTGAGCGTCAAGTACATGACCCAGGGTTCCCAGAAGAACATTGCCCAGAGCATAACACAGCCTCCACCATCCTGCCTTTTTCTCATGCATCCTGCTGCCATCTCTTCCTGACGTACACGCACCTGGTCATCCATCTCTTCGAATGATCTGATAGAAAATGTGAATTATCAGACCCGGCAACCTTCTTCCATTGATCCAAAGTCCAGTTCTGACACTCAATGTTCCTATTAAAGGGGCTTTCGAAAGTGGACAGATTGGTGCGACTTCACTGACAGGCTGAGCTTACCTGCTCAACAACATGCTGGGAGCCGTCCCGCTGGGGTCTCCGTCCCCTCTGCTGCAAAGCAAAATGGCGCCGACCATGCAGTCGCGGCCATTTATAGCCTCGCCCACCAAGGTCACGCGAAAGTACGTCACGATGTCGATGCACGTTCTGGTGTCAGAGGTCACGTTCTGACCAAGCACAGCACAAGGAGGGATATTTAAATCCCTGAAGTTCCCTAGCTCATTGTCCTGTCGTGGTTTCAGTTCCTGGTTCCCGAGAGTGTATTTTCTTGTCTTGTATTTGATCTTCCCAGTATTTTGACCTTCGCTATCCCTGACTACTCTGATTTCTGGTTCCCTTGACTTGGCTTTCCATATTGTTTTTGTGTATTTCTGGCTTCCTTGGCCTCGGCTTTCCCTTGACCATTCTCTGTCTTTCAACGTATTAATCTGGCCATTCTAAGGGCCGGTTTACGTTCTGTCGTTTTGCTATTCTGTCTCTGTAGATATTACATAGTTCTGCGTGCTGGACCACACTAGCAGTCGTGACACCAACTTTGCTATTTTGGCATACAGTTTGAAATTAATTTTTGGTCACAGCAATTCTTAATTAATGTTTTATTTATTTTAGAGCAATACATTGCTGTGTGTTACACTGTTAAACCTTTCCTATGCATTGACGCACAAACATCTGACCAGCCTTAACTTGAGTATGAATATCTGCTCTTTTTTCCAATTATGCTTCTAGAGAGACACACGTACTCAGGTATACACATTAGAGCTTTATAGAGTTCAGTTCTTCTCACAGCTGACTAGAGATTCCTCTACATCAGGGCTGCCCAACAGGTAGATCCCCAGATGTTGTAGAACTACAACTTCCATGATGCTCTGCATGCCTTTAATTATGCATTTAGAATGACAAAGCATCATGGGAGTTCTAGTTCGACAACATCTGGGGATCTACCTGTTGGGCAGCCCTGCTCTACATCAAGCATGTCAAACACGCGACCCAATGAATATCTTTGCAGCCCAGCAAGCCACGAGTAGATGCTTACTGTTGGCAGAGTAGGCACCTGCTCTCCCCACATTGCAAGTGCCTTCTCTGCTGAAATATACCAGGCCGGTGGAGGGAAAGCTGGCGGCAGCGAGCGCAGTCTGTTCTTCCTGTTCCTCACTGCTTGCGAGTATGACGTAAATCCAGCCCAACATTACTAAACTGTGCGCGTGAAGGAGCAGTGAGTAGCAGGAAGGGAGACTTCCCTCCAGAGAGAAGATCTCCACTGGACCCCAGGGAGAGGCCCCACACCAGCTCCCGAAGGTAAGGAGCAATCAGCAATAAATAAAATGATTTGTGAGTGTGTGCAAAAATGTGTGTGTGTGTCTGTCTGTGTGTCAGTGTTTGTGTGTCTGTCAGTGTGTAAGTGAGTGTGTGTATGTCTGTGAGTGTATGTGTGTCAGTGTTTGTGTGTCTGTCAGTGTGAGTGAGTGTGTGTGTCAGTGTTTGTGAGTGTCTTTCACTGAGTGTGTGTCTGTCAGTGAGTGTGTGTGTCTCGGTCAGTGTTGCAATGGCCCCGGCTGAACAGTGGAGGACCTGGAGGTGCACGGAGGCATACAACGCCACATCACATTACAACGGGACATCGACGTGCTCCACCTTCACAGGGTTTCAAGGAGTAGTGGAAGGATCCGCTTTTTCACAGGGTGCGGACGGCACCATTGGGGGATAGAGGCCGGACTCCGGAGTCGCATGCGGGAACTGGGATTAAGTAAAGTGGGTGACTGGGGTTTAGTAGAGGGGGGCTGTGGTTTAGTGGAGGGGGGCTGTGGTTTAGCGGAGGGTGGGTTCGGGTTTAGTGGGGTGGTTAGGGTTTAGTAGAGGGTGGACTGGGGTTTAGTAGAGGGGGGGTGCTGTTTTTTTTTTATACTGTACTTTTCAAAATAAACTTAAGTTTCTATGAAAAGTTTAAGTTTTTGGTTTATTGCGGCCCACGTAAACTTAAATCTTGTTTATTTGGCCTGTGCTAACCTTTGAGTGTTACATGCTTGCTCTACATGTTGTCCAAAAGGCTGTGCATAGATACGTATACACAGGGGTGTCTAGTTACACCTCCCTGCATTTCACTTGCACAGCCTTCCTAAGCACTTTCTATAAAGTGAGATCTAATGTTTAACCCCTTAAGGACCAAACTTTTGGAATAAAAGGGAATCATGACATGTCACACATGTCATGTGTCCTTAAGGGGTTAAACTTCCTTTATTGCACATTATGTTTAATTTAGAATTAATTATCTCCTGCACTGTTAATGTACTTAAAGTTGAATTTAAGGAGCAGGAGAGATAACTTCTAAAGCAAGTTAACATCTAATTGAAAATAAAACCATTTATTTTTTTCATGCAGGCTGCATCAGTCACGGCCAGGGAAGGTGTGACAAGGGCTGCATAAACAGAAACAAAAGTGAATTAACTCCTAAATGGCAGCAAATTAAACAGTGAGACTGCAGGACTATGATCTTTACACAAAAATTGCTTCATCAACGGGTTGACCAGACCCGGCTTTAGTGGGATCGTCCTGGTTTTCACCTGTTTGTCCCGGTGTCCCGAGAATCTTTCTCGGGATGCGTAAAAGTCCCGGTTTAGCAGAGACGGCTCCTTTCCCCATTTCAAGGCCGACAGGGGAGATCCTTTCATCCCCATGCCGGCCTCATGCAGAGTAGCAGGGGTACCAGATGAGCAGCAGGAGAAGCTTGTGGAGCTCTGGATACGGAGGTAGCGGCCTGAGTTTGTAATTCTTGCATGGCTTGAGTGTAGACATTTGCCTGGTTAGTGTATGTAACATTTCGGTCAAATCTGCGGGCTCTATGTAAGCTCAGTTCTTCTGGAGTCCAGGAGGCAGGAATCAGCCAAGGCGAAGTACAAAAGTCAAAACCAAATTTGTAGTCGAGGAAAGCCAGGATTCAGTTCAGACGGCACGGGTTCAGAGACGATATAACAGGCAGAGTGCCAGATACCAGATAAGGCAGGATAGGCACACTGAAGTTGACACCACAGTAAGCACAGTAGAACTGAGCAATGAGGTAGAGGTATTATATAGGGGAGAGGTATCCACCTCTCACATTCTATTGGTTAGAAGGTGATTAGTCCTTTAAATAACTTCTGCTGTACTGTACCTTTAAGAGGTCGCTAGTGAGAGACCTCTAATGTGTATGTATTTCTCTGGGGTGTTTTATTTATTTATATTTAGAGATTTCCGTATTCCTAATGGGTGTCCCTGTTTTTTATTTTCAAAATCTGCTAAAGTTGTTTTGGTGACCCTTTAAGGTGTTGTGCTCTTGCCCTCTGCTCCTGCCATGCTCTTGCACCCATCTCCTGCCCTCTGACTCTGCTATACCCCTATTGTCAACCTCTGAACTGTTTTATTGCTTGTCTTTCCTCCCTTGTTTGATGGGGTGTTGTTTTTTTTTATTCTGAGACAGTTTAATGTTTAATTTTTTTTCTTACTGTCTCAGATTGGCTTATTCCCCATCTTTTTAGGAAAGCATGTCAAAATAATGGTTAATACCTCTCTCTCTACGGTCTACGCCAATCTGCCAGTATCTCTTTACACATAATGTCGGTTCCACATTTCACTCTCTCACCGTTCCATTCTATAGCGTTCCTGCACATGTTATATGTTTGTACATATGTCAATAGATACAGGCGTCATACCCAGCAATCTCTCTTGCCCCGGGACACATTGCTCTTTACTCTTGTGTTCCTTTACTACGAAGCTTATAGATTGTAAGCTTATTTGAGCAGGGCTCTCTTCACATGGCCTTTTCCATCATATAATAGTGTTTTTATATCCCAGTTGTAGAACGCTGCAAATTTGTTGCTGCATTAATAATAATAATCCTAAGATTCCGGATCCATCGTAGAAAAATTTGTACGAGGTTATTAAACCAGGTTCTCCGTTTATGTCATGTGTCCTTAAGGGGTTAAACAAACTAAACACATATCATTTTACTGTGTAGACCGTTGTGAATTTAATTGCTTTAAGTGCCGTTATGCACTCAAACTCTTAAACACTAATAATTTGGAGGACACTTAAGAGGTCTACATTCTGTTTGTGGGTTCTGTAGCCCTGTAATTGTTTTTCTTTGTATTCTATTGAATCGTGCATCTTGTGAAGGCACAGCTGCTGTGTTACATTAGATTAGAGAACAGGAGTAGCTGATTAATCCTGTGTGCAGGAGCCCACTGTGTGACATTTATTGCTGAGCCAAAGGTGATCTATTGCCTTTGCAGGGAGGTGATGAGGGTGCTGGGTGGAAAGAAGAAGAAAAAAAAGAAAAGCAATTGCAAAAAGACAATGACGGATGAAATAGCAGACCAGGTACTGCTAAAGCGATATGCTGCAGTGAAGGACCACGTTTTTGAGCAGCAGAGTAGCACAAGAAAACCCAATGTGCCTGGCTTTCCTATGACATACAACCCTTCTAACGCCTGGGTGCTTCCTGCTTATTCCCAGGAAGATTCGGAAGGTCATCCGTCTGTGCCGGGAGGAAGAATACGGCAACACGATGACATCTTGGATGGGTCTCTGGTGATCTCTAAAAGTCACCGTCGTCACAATAAAAAGTGGAGAGGAAGTGGTATGGCTCTGTTGAAGGCGTCACTCATGGCTTTCAGTTTTGTGTTTTGGGTCGCTGGTCTAGTAATGCTCACCGTGGGCATCTGGGCTAAGCTCTCCTTAGAAGAATACTTGGTTCTATCCACTAATGATTATCCGAATACCCCACTCATCCTACTCGTGAGCGGAGCCGCTGTCTTACTGTGGGGCTTTCTGGGTTGTCTCAGCGCTGCCGCGGAGAAACGTTTCCTCTTGCGTATCTATGGACTCTTCCAAATGGCGGTTCTGGTGGCGGGACTGGCCGCAGGACTCTCTGGTTTGTTCTATAGAAGGTAATTTAATTTCCCTATTCCTATTCTGCTAAGTAAAGCATGACATAATGGTGACAAAGAATTTGATTTCATTTAATTTTTACAATATTATAGTCCACTAAGTCCAGGTTAACATTACACTAAACAGCTAATTTATAGGCCAAAATAGCTGTAGAAAATAGCTTAATGTGAGATTTTGTTTTCCCAGATTAGCCATATTTTCCTGCATTTTGAAATTCCCTACAAGATTGTTTGAACGAAAAACCCTGTTAGTGTTTGGCAATCAAAAATACAATAAACGTTCGCAGAGAGGAGAGAGCAATACATTTATTCCAGTTTTCCTGCTTACTGAAACTAACTGACAAGCAGTGTTCCTGATAAATGGAACTATAATGTATACACATCAGCAGCGGAACTACCAGCGATACAGCCACACCATTGGCCACCATTGGGGCATTAGAACCCATTCTCTGATCAGGGGCCCCGTTGAGCGGTTGGGTCCTTTAATGCTACATGATCAGGTTGGGGAAATAGAAATATCTCCCCCAATTGGACTGTATTTAACAGCGCCCCAGCCCACACCCCTGCCAGATCTAAATGCCAGTGGTAGGATATGATCCATCTACAGCAGGGGTTCCCAATTAATTTTTCCTGTAGAACCCTTTGACATAGTGTATTAACATCGTGGAACCGTTTGTTTTCCTGGCACTGGAGAATCCCTTTAATTACCAGTTCAGATGGATCTTGTGCTAAAGTAATTGCTTAGAATTGTTGCCAATTTCAGCCGAAGAATCCTCACTTTGCCACTGATTGCCATGATACAGCTTGGGTGTAGTTCACTGCCAATAAACTGTCAACAACAACTCTTAGAATTTAAACTTTTCTTTCTGCAAGGTATACATTGTAAGTGAACTACGTGTCGTGTGACTTTGCTTTGTACATGTCTTACAACAGGGACATTGCTGATGGCTTTGAAAGCGGCTTGCAAGATGCAGTTATTTCCTATTCTGAAGATGAGGAGAAGGCCGATGCGTTGGATGTTATTCAGCGGGCTCTGCACTGTTGTGGGGTTCACAGTTACCTAGACTGGCTCGATTCCCCTTGGTCAATAGAGCAACGGGAGCAACATTCGTACTATGAATACAGCAATGGCTCTGTGCCCAGTAGCTGCTGCCAGGCACGACGGGGATGCCACAACAGCCCTGTGCTCGCCGGTGCCCCAGGTATCCACAGGGAAGGATGTTTTAAGAAAGTCTGTGACTTTGTAAGCGACAACATGTTCTACATAGCCACAGCGGCCCTGGGACTGGCTATCATGCAGGTGGTAGGCATCATTTTAACATGTGTCTTGGCCACTAAAATTACTCAAAGGATGTCCGATATGGTTCCAACGTAGGATCTGCGGGAATGTGTTTTATATAATACCATTACTAACAGAGCAGGCCTGTCAGTGAGCTATAAATCCCATTAAGCCTTCCAACCACTTTTTGTTGTTTCGGTTGGCAGAAGAATTATAGTCAGCTGACTTAATTTCATAACATAAAATGTAATCTCTGTTACATGTTGTTTAATTTTGTTATTTATTACTGCTCTGCTAAGTTCCCTTGTCCAGAGCCATTTAAGGTGCATGCGTAACAAAAGCCGTATCTAGTATTGAAAAATGACTGGTTTGGACGAATACAAAAGTATATCAGATCTGTAATGCTTGTCCCTTAAACTTTAAGATTGTCAATTAGATGTTTAAGGAATTTTCACATTTCAAATTAAATAAGATTTACAAGAATATTTCAGCATTTAGAATTCTTGTATTTATTTACCCTATAAAAAAATGTAAGTTGTGTGTGTAGTGTATGTAGTTTTTGTGTGTACTAGATGCAATGTGTTTAGTGGATGTAGCGTGTGTATTAGACACAGTGTCTCTGTATAGTTACATAGTTACATAGCTGAAAAGAGATTTGCGTCCATCAAGTTCAGCCTACCTCACATTTGTTTTTTGCTGTTGATCCAAAAGAAGGCAAAAAAACCCAGTTTGAAGCTCAATTTTGCAACAAGCTAGGAAAAAAAATTCCTTCTTGACCCCAGAATGGCAGTCAGATTTATCCTTGGATCAATCAGTTATTACCCTACATTGAAAGATTATATCCTTGAATATTCTGTTCTTGCATGTATGCATCTAGTAGCCGTTTGAACATCTGTATGGACTCTGATAAAACCACTTCTTAAAGGACCACTCTAGGCACCCAGACCACTTCAGCTTAATGAAGTGGTCTGGGTGCCAGGTCCTTCTAGGGTTAACCCATTTTTTCATAATTATAGCAGTTTCAGAGAAACTGCTATAATTATGAATGGGTTAAGCCTTCCCCTAATCCTCTAGTGGCTGTCTCACTGACAGCCACTAGAGGCGCTTGCGTGCTTCTCACTGTGATTTTCACAGTGAGAGCACGCCAGCGTCCATAGGAAAGCATTGAGAATGCTTTCCTATGTGACCGGCTGAATGCGCGCGCAGCTCTTGCCGCGCGTGCGCATTCAGCCGGCGGGGCGTAACGGAGGAGGAGAGGAGGAGGAGAGCTCTCCGCCCAGTGCTGGAAAAAGGTAAGTTTTTACCCCTTTCCCCCTTCCAGAGCCGGGCGGGAGGGGGTCCCTGATGGTGGGGGCACCCTCAGGGCACTATAGTGCCAGGAAAACGAGTATGTTTTCCTGGCACTATAGTGGTCCTTTAAGGCAGAGAATTCCACATCCTGATTGTTCTTACAGTAAAAAAACCTTTCCTTTGCCTTAGACGAAATCTTCTTTCTTCCAGTCTAAAAGCATGGCCTCGTGTCCTATGTAAAGTCCGGTTTGTGAATAGATTTCCACACAATGGTTTGTATTGGCCCTGAATATATTTGTATAATGTTATCATATCCCCTCTCAGGCGACGTTTTTCTAAACTAAATAGGTTTAAGTTTGTTAACCTTTCTTCATAGCCGATATGTTCCATTCCCTTTTATTAATTTTGTAGCCCACCTCTGCACTTTTTCTAGTGCCATAATATCCTTCTTTAGAACAGGTGCCCAAAATTGCACAGCATATTCAATATGGGGTCTTACCAGTGATTTATAAAGAGGCAAAATTATATTCTTGTCCCGAGAATGAATGCCCTTTTTCATGCATGACAATACCTTACTGGCCTTGGCCACTGCTGATTGACATTGCACATTGTTGCATAGTTTGTTGTCTATAACAATTCCCAAGTCCTTTTCGTGTGTTGTTATCCCTAATTCGCTTCCATTAAGGGTATATGTTGCATGTGTATTCTTTACGCCGAAGTGCATAACTTTGCATTTTTCAACATTAAATTTCATCTGCCATTTGAGTGCCCAGTCCCCCAGTCTATCTAAATCCCTCTGCAGCAAAGTAATATCTTGCTCACATTGTATTGTTTTACAAAGTTTTGTGTCAGTGAATGCAGAATGTTTGAATATGTGGTGGATGTAGTGTGTGTACTGTGAATACAGGATGTTTGTGTTATGGATGCTGTGTGTATAGTTAATGCAGAGTGTGTGCCAGTGGAGTGGATGCAGAGTGTGTGTCAGTGTAGTGAATGCAGTGTGTGTGTCAGTGTAATGAATGCAGTGTGTGTGTCAGTGTAGTGAATGCAGTGTGTGTGTGTTAATGTAATAAATGCAGAGTGTGTGTTAGTGTAGTGAATGCAGAGTGTGTGTTAGTGTAGTGAATGCAGTGTGTGTGTCAGTGTAGTGAATGCAGTGTGTGTGTTAGTGTAATGAATGCAGTGTGTGTGTAGTGAATGCAGTGTATGTGTTAGTGTAATGAATGCAGTGTGTTAGTGTAATGAATGCAGTGTGTGTGTTAGTGTAATGAATGCAGTGTGTTAGTGTAATGAATGCAGTGTGTGTGTTAGTGCAGTGAATGCAAAGTGTGTGTTAGTGTAGTGAATGCAGTGTGTGTGTTAGTGTAGTGAATGCAGTGTGTGTGTTAGTGTAGTGAATACAGTGTGTGTGTTAGTGCAGTGAATGCAGAGTGTGTGTTAGTGTAGTGAATGCAGTGTGTGTGTTAGTGTAATGAATGCAGTATGTGTGTTAGTGTAATGAATGCAGTGTGTGTGTTAGTACAGTGAATGCAGAGTGTGTGTTAGTGTAGTGAATGCAGTGTGTGTGTGTTAGTGTAATGAATGCAGTGTGTGTGTTAGTGCATTGAATGTAGAATGCGTGTTAGTGTAGTGAATGCAGTGTGTGTCTTAGTGTAATGAATGCAGTGTGTGTTAGTGCAGTGAATGCAGTGTGTGTGTTAGTGTAATGAATGCAGTGTGTGTGTTAGTGCAGTGAATGCAGAGTGTGTGTTAGTGTAGTGAATGCAGTGTGTGTGTTAGTGTAATGAATGCAGTGTGTGTGTTAGTGCATTGAATGTAGAATGCGTGTTAGTGTAGTGAATGCAGTGTGTGTCTTAGTGTAATGAATGCAGTGTGTGTTAGTGCAGTGAATGCAGTGTGTGTGTTAGTGTAATGAATGCAGTGTGTGTGTTAGTGCAGTGAATGCAGAGTGTGTGTTAGTGTAATGAATGCAGTGTGTGTGTTAGTGTAATGAATGCAGTGTGTTAGTGTAATGAATGCAGTGTGTGTGTTAGTGCAGTGAATGCAGTGTGTGTTAGTGTAATGAATGCAGTGTGTGTGTTAGTGTAATGAATGCAGTGCGTGTGTGTCAGTGTAGTGAATGCAGTGTGTTAGTGTAATGAATGCAGAATGTGTGTTAGTGTAACTAATGCAGTGTGTGTGTTAGTGTAATGAATGCAGTGTGTGTGTTTACTAGTGTATGTATGTAATGTAATAAAATATATTCACCCTCCCTGTTTCTTAGTGTAATGAATGCAGTGTGTGTTAGTGCAGTGAATACAGTGTGTGTGTTAGTGTAATGAATGCAGTGTGTGTGTCAGTGCAGTGAATGCAGTGTGTGTGTTAGTGTAATGAATGCAGAGTGTGTGTTAGTGTAGTGAATGCAGTGTGTGTGTTAGTGTAATGAATGCAGAGTGTGTTAGTGTAGTGAATGCAGTGTGTGTCAGTGTAGTGAATTCAGTGTGTGTTAGTGTAATGAATGCAATGTGTGTGTCAGTGTAGTGAATGCAGTGTGTGTTAGTGTAATGAATGCAGTATGTTAGTGTAATGAATGCAGAGTGTGTGTTAGTGTAATGAATGCAGTGTGTGTGTTAGTGTAATGAATGCAGTGTGTGTGTGTGTGTTTACTAGTGTATGTGTGTAATGTAATAAAATATATTCCCCCTCCCTGTTTCTTAGTGTAATGAATGCAGTGTGTGTTAGTGCAGTGAATGCAGTGTGTGTGTTAGTGTAATGAATGCAATGTGTGTGTCAGTGCAGTGAATGCAGTGTGCGTCAGTGTAATTAATGCAGAGTGTGTGCTAGTGTAGTGAATGCAGAGTGTGTGTTAGTGTAATGAATGCAGAGTGTGTGTCAGTGTAGTGAATGCAGTGTGTGTTAGTGTAATGAATGCAATGTGTGTGTCAGTGTAGTGAATGCAGTGTGTGTTAGTGTAATGAATGCAGTGTGTGTGTCAGTGTAGTGAATGCTTTGTGTTAGTGTAATGAATGCAGAGTGTGTGTTAGTGTAATGAATGCAGTGTGTGTGTGTGTGTGTGTGTGTGTTTACTAGTGTATGTATGTAATGTAATAAAATATATTCCCCCCTCCCTGTTTCTTACCTGGTCCAGGGAGTGGGGATCATCGCTATATATGTGTGCAGAAAGTAATTGTGGGGCCCTGAACTGCCAAAGCAGTCCGGGCCCCCCAGGACCGCTGGGCCTGTGACAACCGTTATGGTTGTCACCCCCTGATGGCGGCCCTGCATACATACACAAATACACTGATGCACACTCCTTGACAGATACAGTACAGACATACAGTCGCAATGTGTGTCTGACAAGGTGGTGTATCTGGATGTGTGTATTTCTGAATGAGTGTGTCTTTGTGTGTGTAGATGCCTGAGCATGTGTGTCTGACAGTGGGTATACTTGTTTGTGACTGTACATCTCTGCATCTGCAAGCATTTTTGTGTCTGAGAGGGAATGTGTGTGGGGCAGCTGCTTGTGGTGTGTTTTGTGTATTGCACATTGTGTTATGGCTGGGCTGTGTTTTATGTGTGTATGATGATGACTTTATTTAGGGCATGACTGTGACAGTGTTTGTGTGAGAGGGAAAGTGGGATTGGTGTGACTAGGGCCTCCATCAGAAAATTTGGTGCCCCTAACACTGTTCAAGGTCTGGGCCCCCGCAGGGGCCCACATTTAAGCCCGCCCCCAAATCCCACCCCAAGGCCCGCCTCCAAATCTCACCCACAGGAATACACACACACAGACACAAACACACGCACTGATACAAAAAGGACACAGATACACACACACACAACGATACACACATACTGACACACACACACATACATACTAACAGACACATACTGAAACAGACATACTCACATACAGGCATACATACTGACACACATACTGAAACAGATACACAGACATATACAGACACACAGACATACAAAGTGACACACAGACACATACTAAAATACACACACATGCATAAGGGCATACATACACACACACATACATACTGACATACACACACATACATACAGACACATATACATACTGACATACATACATACTGATATACATACATATATACTGACAAACACACACAGCTAATTTTTCAGCCACCCTCCTGTTTCTTACCTTTTCTTTGCAGGAGGGTGGCTGAGGCTGATGGGAGTCGGCTTC